AAAATGAGGAATTCGGCCAGAGAGGCACGCCTGTGTTATCAGTCTTCCATCTCAAACATTCCTCACTTACAGACTGAGCATATAATTTGTATATAGAGCCAAGAGGAAAGCTGTTTTGCGAGACAGAAACCTGAGGTTGGTCTGCCCTATGTGTTCTTAAGGAGCTTGAGTTAGGGATCTTAGCACCGAAGCTCTGACAGTCCTTACCGGTCGCAGGTAGTATGCACCTTTAATGAACTGAGACACTAAGAGATGTCTGACAACTGTAACACCTCCACTGCCTCATGGAAGAGAGATACGGCAGTAGTGTACAACTTAATAGTGCATGTGCTTCTGAGTCCAAAGGCGGAGAACCAACTCGTTTGGGCGAGTGGATCATCCTGCCCATTGTACAACAAGGTTGTTTACAAGATACAAGGTTGTTTATTAGTCACAATACAGCACAAGGCAGCATTAAGAAAAAAAATTTGTAGTTCCTTCATGCCACACACACAACATATAATTAAGTGTAGGTTTATATTAAAATATGGTTTCATCTAAAATAAAATAAAACAATACAGTTATTTATATACATATATATATATCCAAGAAAAAAGCCTAAACATTCCACAGTGCATTTTTTGAATTTGCATCTGGGGTGAGCAGCAACCAGTTGATAATATGAAAGTTTCATCTTCACAATAAACAGTTTGACATTTGTGAAACAGAGTCCATCTTGACTGCGTGTGTGCACCAAGCATCATCTGTGCAAAACAGTCCACTTCCTCTCATCTTGCCGGAGTCTTGCACTGACAGCTCGTAACATGGACCACCTGCCATGTTCTTCATCGGGGATGTTGATGGGGCAAGTCTCTGTGCTCTCTGTTGTGGGGCACAACAGTTTCCGAATTCCGTTGCTTGGTCAACATGAGTCCCATTTTGTCCAGACCGGATCTTTAGGAAGCAGAATTAAGTCCAAGCTGGGCCAGCGTGGTTCCTCTCCTGGTTCTCTTTCCTCTCCTCTGAACAATCACCGCACCCGCCGTGACGCCTGGTCCGGTTGTTTGGGCCGGGTGGATCATGTATTAGTTAATATGTTTTGGCTATAAAGCCAGAAAAAATAGAAAAAAACAAGTGTAGCAAAGTTTGAAGGGACTACCCGCTGCTGCTTCTACAAGCATTGCCGGTTCCCAGAGCAGTGTGACACCATGCAGAAAACATTTTACACTTATTGTCATAATTAGCACGAGTGGTGGGAGTCCTGTATTGCTTATGGTCTTTAGGATGATTATTTTGGTTGATATTGAGATCACAATTATTCAACATGACTTATAGGGTTGACCGAATGCTTTGAAGCTTCTAATGTTATTGTGGTAATTGACGTCCAAATCAATACCATGAAATAAAAAATAGTAAACCAACATTATTAACATCTTACATCTTGCATCTTAGAGTGCAAGCGGATGACATCAACACTTTGATTCCCTTAGGTTTGCACACGGAGCACACGGAGCGAAGTAGAGGATAGCAACTTGTGACATAACACTAAAAATCAACTGTGGTGTTCTCTCTTTAAACCAATGATGAGTTAGAAAAAGTATACATAATATGTAAGTTGTTACGCTATGAATAGAGGAAAAGTCTAGCTTCTAGGCTAATTTCTGGAGTATAAAATGCCATTGGCTTAAGCTAATGAACCTTGACAGTTCAATCACAGCTTGATTAATTGCCAGATCCTAGTCTAAACCATGCCGGACTGAGTCCATAAATGTGCTACCACTTCTGGATGAAGCCTCCACTCTCCTGGTATAGAACCAGACACGGGCAGGAGTCTGTTGCTAGATTTACAACCCCTGGAATATTTATACCCTAAGTGAAGCCAGACACTGAAACGCCCAAAACAGGAGTTTCTGTGCCACCTGGAGGCAATGCAGGGACCTGAAGCCTCCCTGATGATTTCTATGATACACAGTGGAAGAACTGTCTGTTATTATCAAGACACATGTCCCCTGAATGGAGGAGATGAGAGCCATTGTTATGTTTGGCCAAAAAGGTTACCACAGTGAGTGCACCATCCTGTCTTCCCAGACTACTCCCCAACCTGTTAGGAAGGTATTTGTGGTTACCACTGTCCCTACTCGATGTAGGCCTAATGTTCCCGAGAGGAACTCACTGGCGCAAAACAGGCCCTCCATGGGCGCGTAACACTTCATGGGCAGGAAGCCAAGCCTCCTAAAGCCAGTAACATTACTTTGTTCATATATAGGGCACGTTCAGCCCAGACAAAACGTAATGATAGATTTATTTAAACGGAAACAGTGGTGCTTTGAACACACTGTTGTGTATCAAGCTCACTGCCTTTATAATAAGGCAGGTTAATTTACTGTACATGTAGCTGCTGACTGGGTCACATCTATCAAACAAGAGAAAACGTACCTCAAAGCTCATTGACAGGTTTTTAAGGAAATATGTTATCCAAATCCAGTAGTAAGAGACTGCTAGGTTTTGAAAGTATCCAACCGAAAAAATACCTTCCTCCCTGGTGAGGACTTCCTCCAAAGCCACTCCCCCAAAACACATTTTCATCCCCAATCAGTGCACAGGCAGAGTGCACCCAGATAGACCCGCCAATCATGCTTACTACAGTCCTGTGACAGCCACAGATACAGAGCATTTGATATACTGATTGATGTCGGGATGTACAGAGAATTTCAATAAATATAACAAAATGCTTCTGAAATAAAGTGCCTACTAGGCTATATCTTAAATGTTATATGTAAAGGCCTACACAAAATCCCATTGCTCACTTAACAAGGAAAAATCAGAGAAAGTGACAACACAGAAACAGCAGATAATTGAAAAGCCATGTTGAAATGTTTTTCCCCCAGATGGTTTTCAGTCAATTCAGAACACAAGCCCTGGAACCCCAGATCCAGACTGTAAACGTGACCGGTTGCATGGATTACATTACCGTAAATACTGTAAAAAAATTGGACTGTGGAGGCAAAAATGCTTTTTAATGTGCCCCTTTCTTTGTTTTCTGCAAGAGGCCCTTGTTGATAATACCAGATAATATTTTAACACTGGAAATAAAACTCAGGTCTACAGCAAAGTCTTATGCTGCTATGGCTTTTGTCAGTCTGTCACTTACACATAAACATCAACTGGAGCCTATATGACTCTATGACAGATGATAATCCCCTTATCTTGTCTGTCCCACAAATAATATTATTTACACGGAACATGCATTTTATCGTGTGTGCTTTAGTCGCCTTTTAAAGCTCAACTACTCATGAACTGTGAATTTAATTGTCATCATGCATTGTTTTTGGGCAAAGTTATATCTTGTGATTTCTTTTGTTGTTAAAGAAACAGCAGCTGCAGAGTGAGCAACTTTAATGCAGTGACCTAATGGAAATTTATTTTTTAGTCCCTGATATCTTTTTTGTCTTTCAGACATACCGGCCATACAGTACCATACAGTTGTAGCTAAATAATATGTTTCCTCAACGTTTCATGATTGTCAATTACTGCGCAAGAGTTTATACTGCAATATCCCAGATTCTTACATCATCACTGGCACTAGAAGTGAAGTAGATGTTTTGGCTGGTAACAGTGATGGAAGTAATTAGATACATTCACTCAATACCGTACTTAAGTAGAATTTTGAGGTCATACTTTACTTTATGTGCATTTCAAGCCACTTCATTTGAAATGAACGGCACAGCGATATATAAAGTAATTAAAATAAGATAGGACAAGATAAGCCTTTATGATGCCCAGAGGGGAAATGCTGGTGTTGCAGCAGCATGGGGCCCAAAATAAATATTACTAGACAAGTAGAGTAAGTAAAAATATATAAAGTATATAGATAAAAATATGAATAGAAACAAAAATAGAAACTATAGAAGACCAATTGAAGTCTAAATTACAAGGCATGAGTGATATGGTAGTTGCTGGGTAAAGAATTTAAATGCTTCTTACATGTTCATGTGTCACTAATAATAATGATACACTTATATGGCAAATGCAATAATAATATCAGAAATAAACAACACTCTGAAATGGGCAGTTCTGTGTAATAAGTGCTTTTTGCTTTTAATACTGTCAGTACATTTTGCTGCCAATAGGCTACTGCTATATCCTTTGACTTAAGTAAAAATTTCATTGCAGGACTTCTAATGGAGTATTTTTACATTGTGTTATTTCTGAAGGATCTGATCTTCCTCCACTGTGTCTGGTGTCCTGGTTTTCTTGATTCTTAATACAACATAGCACAATTCTTTGACACACGATTTTGTTTAATTACAAATAAAATTGTACACTAATAGAACTACATCTCCCCTAGACCCCTACTGTCTAAAATCTTAAACGATAAATAGATTGACTAACCTGAAGCTAAGAACTCGGAATTTACGAGCCGCACTTGAGTGCAACTAAATAAACCTCAGAGAAGAATGTCCCTGCGCGTCTACACAAAATATTACGGTCAGCCCTCTAGGAGGTTCTGTACGTGGCAGCGACTGAAACCCCTCTCTGTCCTGCTCATAACCTCGGGGTGCCAAGGGAGACTGCGTCTACATACCAAAGAGTAACGTTGCTCTTTAAGACAAGAGAATAAAGGTAAGATAACATTAAGTGTCACATCTAACGTCTTTCTCTACATCTCTGGAAGGGGAGTGAATCGTTCAGCTCGCGTGCCTGCCGAACATGCAGGGATGGGTGTCAATAACTGGGTTCAACGGGGTCTTTTGGAGGGGAACCGTGTTACCAGACACTCAGACCGTGTGGTACCAAGACGTTAAAATAACACCGACTCGTTATTGCCTGATGTGTTTATTTCCGACACGTTGGTTACATCGTAATGTAATGACTCTGGGAGGCAGCCAGGTTACAATGTTCCACGGCGAAACAGCAGAAAGTTTTCAAAACTTTGCGCCAACTTTGTGGTAGAGCATCTCAGCCGGCGTTGCTGTACTGCCCTTGTTTATTACGCAGGTTCTTTAAAGGGGACACTGACACCGAGTTTTACATATTTTTGCTTAGTAAATAGAGAGCTCTGCACATGTAGCCACCAGTACAGGCTGCAGGACGTTCACGGGACCCGATGAGCTGAAGTGTTGGGAATTTCTAGAAACAACTGTCTTGCGCTGACGTCACCGCGACGGCTACCATCGCGCTGGAGATGTTGAGCAGACTCGGGATCAGCAAGGCAAGGCGCAAGTGTTTTAAGCCCTTTCCCACAGTTTCGGTGCTGCTCATACTCAATTTTACCAAATAACAGTTCATAAAGGTATAGTCTGTATTTTTTTTATTGGAACTGCTTTCTAACAAAGAAATATTAATGGGGACGCTGTCTGTGAAACGAGATGTAGGTCATGATTTTATTATAAATTATAGTTATATTTGCTGAGAGCTCCATAAACGCATCTATCATCGATTAATCTGACCATTACTTTCTGAATTAATAATTTGTTATTATTATATTATGTGTGTGAGTCAGAAAACACTGAAAAATCACAATTTTGCACTGCCACAATTTCCTAAACCCAACACTGTCTTCAAATTCGAGCTAGACCGATCAATCGGCCAGGCTGGAACCAGAGAATAGCGGGCATTTGTGTTTGAAAATTGACTTAAACAATTAATCAGAATATTGTAGTACATTGTAATTTGAGTGGCCTCAAAGAAGCTAGCAGCTCATTGAGTACAAATGGTTAGTTTGTAGATATAAAGCTCCAAAATAAAGACATCGTCTTTTTCCACCATTGGCAAATATCACAAAATCCCATTGTACACGCAGTCCCAGTATAAAGGGTTGGATGTGGGCCAGGTGAGGGATGCACTGCTGTGATTTATGGGTAGTGCAATGCAATAATTGGCTGTGGCAGCCATTGGATAAATGGAAGGCAACAAATGGAGGGATGACATAAATTGTCAGCAGTAATTGGGCTATAAGGCAGGCTCAAGAGGATGATGTCTTGCTAAACACAGCTGAAACAGAACTGCTTTATTAAGTTATGTTAAAAGTAAAATTTTTTCTATGTCTGTCTTCTTTTCTTTATGCAAGCTGCAGCCAGTGGCCAAGTCTGGTTGTATATTGTTTATCATAAATATTGAAACAGTGTCTATCCAAATGACTGGCTGATTTATATTAATTACGACATCTGTGTCTTTTTTATTAAACATTATTTATATGAGCCTGCTGTGTGTACATACCAGAAAGGGGTTTTTGGAAGTCAACGGCGTGTTTGCGTACTCCTGCACATGAAAAAACTCAAACTGTGTGTTATCCATATGGACGCTTGCTTATGTAAAGTAATGCATGCAACTTTGAGCCAGTCTGTCTCTTTATGTTAATGTATAGTTTAAAAAGAGCCACACTGTGTTAACAGTGGTATGAATGAGCTCTTCTACCAGGCTGAGATGAACCTGTTTGCAGCACAGCAGCCTGGTAATAGATTACTGGTACTACCTGAGTCTAGTTGCCACGTCAGGATGTTAATTCATGTTCAGGAGCAGAGGACATTTAGAAACGTAAAATAAATCTAGCCTATTTTTAGTTGCAATATGGCTGCAGAAGTTGTTTTTTTTCCAGCTCTCATTGCATCTGAATCTAATTTTCCTTAATGTCAACTGCATATGGTCAGCAGAAATCTTAGACTTGGAAAGCCTCTTAACTCTTTGCTATACTCAGAGATTTTCTACACTCTCCTCCCTGATAATGTCTACATTACACAAGATGACATTCATTTGGCAAATGCTGTGGCTGTCCAAAGCGAATTGCAAAATGTAGATTCAAACTCAAAAAGAACAAGAGCTGCAAGCTGTCTAGTTTACAGGGTCAGCAAAACCATGTCGGAAAAGCTCACTTCGATTTGTCTCAGAGCCGGGAGAAGCAAAAAAAGTAGCATTTCTATTTGCTGAAATGATGCTTTTCATTCAGCCCCCATGTGATGTTTAGTTTAGTGGAAGTGAAAGTCAAAGCAAACGTTTGTGCACTTAGTTTGACTCTGCATAAACAGCAAGGGAACCGTGTTTAGAGTGAATCTTGTGATCACTGACACAAAGCAGAGACTAACCTTTCAGGAGATCTGTTGTCTAATCAAATAATAAATCAAAATGTCACTATCCCGTCAGCAGGCCAAAGATTGAATTATTTGAATCTACATAGAGTAGTCTTATTGAGGAGGAACCATTGGTGTTCTACCCACAGTGTGAAATGAAGTGCACAGAGAAGCAGCAATGACACGTTTCAAGTTTGAATCTTTGCTAGTGGAGACAGTCAAATCTCCCTGAGTCTGACAGGCAGGGATTGTCTGAGCATGTTCATAGCCTGTGGATACCGTTTGTACACACTGGATGTGGTGTATTATGTAACATGCATGTGTCACTCTGCACACGTGTGTTTTCCATATTTTCTGTATGCCTGTGTGTGGGGGGGTACATGCCAGTCCTGCTTACTGATTAACAGCAGTCATACAAATACCCGTTCAGCATCACCTGTTTGATGTTTATGTCAGTACACCCCTTACAGGTCGACAGTGTGGAAAAAGCTGGCAGGCATCTTGTCTATCTTATGAGGACTTCAATGTTCTGGCCTGCAACTCCCATTCTTCTTTAACATAGATGGATGCTTTCTCACTCCCGACTAGTTTTATCAAAACACTGGATTTTTTGGTCTTCGCTGCCAGAATGTAATGTTGAAAAAATGTGTACTGCCACGATCCCTCTGCAAGAGCCACCAAGCACGGTGTTTCAGTTACGGTGTTTTCAGTACACCCAGTGTGGTATATTACAGCAAAATGACTATAATTTTAAATGTTAAAATTGGCTTAAAGAAAACGTAAGACTTTTCACCAAAATAAGTTGTAACAGCAAGTTTGTTTATCAAAATGCATGTGAAGTTACAGTTATAACAAACCAAACTTTAGGTCAGGGCTCTCTATCAGTTTATTTTGAATTTGTCCCACTTTTGCTCTGGGAAACACTTTAAGGTGTACAGGGACATTTATTTTTGCCATCATGTCAGCAGTTTGAGTCTATTGGATTTTACACCGAGGTTTGTCATCCCCAAAAGCCAGGCTACATTAAGTCTTTCCTCATTAATTTCCTCCTCTTTGTCCCTGTCTTCTTCATCTTAACTTATCTTATCTTCTTCGTTTAACTGTTCCACTTCCTACACGTTAAATGTGTTCTGTAGATAGGATTCTGAAAGACCAAGTTTGGTTTGTTGAACCTTTCCCACAATTATTGAAGGCTTTACAAAAGGTTTGGAACAGACCTTTTGCCAAAATTTTGAACTATTGCTCCAGCTGTCTCGACTAAGCTCGCCAACTCACTCCAGCCCCAGTGCATTTTGGTTTTTGTTTGCATTTCTTATGAAATTATATTTCTCTGGCGGATGAGAAAGGTCATTTTAATCGTTTTTCAGAAACAGACTTTATCCTGTCACCCTGACATGTTTTAATCTGCTTTCCCTCAAACCTGAGATGCAATAACGTAGTGTTTTAATAACTTCCCCAATTGGCACTAGGGTGACCCAAAACAGCTGTGCTCAGACCAGCCAAGTAATTTGTCGTCAAGTAATGTTCCACAGCAAAGAAGAACAAAACAACTGCAGATGTTGAAAATGTTCCTGTCTTAGTAAATACTCTGCTCTTCAGAAACCCCTGCCCCGCTGCAGACCTTAGATCCTGACTGCTTTGCCAGAGAGTGTTACTTTGCTTTCTTATCTCTCTCATGAAGCCACACCTCCATGTAAAACAGCAAAAATCTGGAACTTGAGCCTAGTAGTTGGTTGGAGACGAGCTTCTGTGATTTAATCGTTCAGTCCAGGCAAATTTTGCTACAGCAGAGCACAACACTGGTACTCACCTGTGAACCGATGTCCCTTAAAAATCTCAAGGTGCAAACAAGAAGCCCTGCACACCAGACCAGAAGATCTGTATTTAGCTGACTGATTTAGCTTATAGCTGCCAGGCTCAGAAATGTTTTACAGGCTAATATCTCATAGCAAGAACTTAGCTTGTGATATTTTGTTTCCTTCCTGTGATGCTGGCAAACAATAATAAGCAACATGAGAATGGAGAGACCCGAGGTACTGTCCAACAAGGCCGTGATATTTCAAAATTTGTGTGACCCCTATTATTTTGTGTTGAGGAAAGGGTAGCTATATTTTTGTTGTCTTACAGCTTAATTTAAAACATAGAACATAGGTCTGTGGCACAGGAAGACCCGTCGCACTGAATGGGTCTATGTTGAGCTGTCTGGTCCTGTCCTCTCATGACCTTGTCAGGGCTTATCCCGTCCTGTCCTCTGTGCTGTTCCTTTCATTTGCTAGAAATGCCAGGCGAGGGTCAGGGCTCGGGAACGTGGGGGTAGTAAATGTAGCAGGCCTCTTTCCAGGAATGTGACATGGGTGTTACAGCCTGCAACAACAGGCAAGACTGTGTTTGAGCTGGGTAATCAAATACACTGTAAATTACAAGGAGAAGGATTTGGTCCTTTCATTTGTAGTTAAGGACTGTGGTAATAGTTATCTGGGCTGGCACTCTTTGAGTAAACCAACAGCCCTCCGAGATAACCCACTGGAAGCTAAATTAGTACTAGTAAAAATACGTGTCTCTGTTATTTATGAAGCATTACAGTCACTGTAAGCAAATGGTAAATGTTCTCCTTTAAGAATAACTGATATCACTGTTTGTTGTAATACACTAAAATGAAAAGTTTTTTCAGGTGTTCTGGTGTATTCTTACTAGCAGTTATTTAGTTTATTTTGTGTGAGTGTTTTTGCAACAAAGATAATTTTGGCAATGACTTGGCGCTGATGTTGGTCTATGTGCACCCAAGCCAACCGACCACAAAGATCATGCATGCATAAACAATAATGTTAAGTCTTAATAATCACGTTAGATGGTGGAAAATGATTCACTGTGTGTGGCATTGTGTTAAATTGAGTTTGACATGCATGCATAGTTTCGTATAAAATGAGTGTCCCTGACGTGATCAGTCGCAAGAAGCTTAAATCCATTCAGGCTTGATTTCAAATGTAGCATTCTTTATTCCCCCACTAGTAGAGTATGTAAGCGTGTTTATCCTATCGTTTCCCACCTGCTGGCAATTCCCAACAAGTTAGGACAGCTTTGCGGCTCTCCTACATTGTGGAGGAGACAGAATTACTTTTCTGTGTTGAGAAAATTGATAAACTGCCTTTAGTCCCAACTCAAAAAGTAACACAAAGTATGTGTTGCTCTGTGAAGTTTGGTCCAGTTCTATTCTGAAATGTTTGATATACAGGCGCTGACCTACTATATCGACACCCAATGTGGTACATTCCAGTAAAATAACTATAATTGTAACTGAAAACGTGAAATATTTCTCCAAAATATTTTGGTTTGTTGATCAAAATGCTTGTGAAGTTCTCTGCCTTTTTCTGTTCCTTCTTAGGATTGATCAGACCTTTATAAAAACACAACTTTAGCTCAGGACTCTCCTGTCAGCTCATTTTGAGTTTGCCCCAGTTTTATTGCAAGGCAGCTGAAATTGTAATTCACAGTGACTTGCTGTCATGTTAAAGCCACTTCACAGCCCTTCACCAATAATTCGTACTGTTGGTTAGTACCATATGGTGAGGTTGTGTTGATGTTTGCCTCATTAAATGGATCCATTTGTCACAAATAAGCCACATACCTTCCATCATGTTTGTTGTAGGCAGCAGGCTTATGCCAAAATATGAACAGTCCATTGCAGAAGTTTGGTGTGACTGACACTCATTGTGCAAAGGACAGGAGCTGTAAGCTAGGTTACAATGTTGTAAACTACTAGAGCCGAAATAGATATTTTTGTTATTGTGGTTAAACAGTATAAATATAATTTATGGTGATGTTAGGTTGCTGCTAGACCGCCTTGTTTTTTTTGACTGTGGTGAAAAAGTTATTTTTGAAACGCTTAACGCCAACAAATATGTATCAAGCTGATTATTTCTTTAGATAAAACCATGATGTTAATTTTTGAAAATATTGGAAATGTTTGGATCATGAGTCAGAAACAATCCTACGCAGCCACCAATGGAATCTAATTCTACATAAAGTTTAATGTTAATAGAAATAACGGCTTTAAATAGAATGAATAGACATGCAAAAAACAGCTGCACAGCATTTGAATGTTCATTTAGAATTTGAATATCTATATTATGAATTAAGTTTTGAACAGCCCTAGTTATAGGTGGCTATAGCTGGTACTTCCTCTTGGGCATGATGTTGGTGTCTGGTGCATAGACTGTATATAAAAATGGACGTAGCGTCCGTGACGTCACCCATAGCATTCTGAAGAGCCGTTTTGAAGCTCAAAATTGGCGGAGCCGACCGGCGCGTCACCACAAGTCACTCCTGGATAACCAAAAATGAGCAAATAGGCAGGTCTTGGGTGGAGCTGAGGTGACGTGTTGCTGAAACCACACCCGCCTAGTCTGGTCTGGTGTCTCTTTGGCTTAAGACTGAAACTGTTTTTCTGTTTTATGCATTCAATTTATCATGACTTATTTTTGCAACAATAGAAAGTTGACTTTTGTTGAATTTTGTCAGCAGGTGTCATGTAAGTGAATTGATTTCTTTTTCACCTGGAGCAGAGTCCTCACCAAGTTCTTACTACACTAACAGCTGAGTTTCCAATTTTCTGCTTCAGAACGTCTGTCTCTCTAAGCTTTTGATTAGATGGTGTTGCAGACAGAAGTATGTGTGTATGTGTGTGTGAGCGCTTATATTTGGAAGCATGGATGCATGTGGATGATGTACACAGGTAAACAGTCATCGCTGAGAAGTGATGTGGTGAAGCAGAATTAGACTAAATCCAAGAGGAGAAAGTGGAGCGGTGTCACTTTTCACCTAAATCCACAAACAAAGCAGCTCTCAGTGCTGGACTGTGAACGAGAGTCTCTGCCAGGTGAAACATCATTGTTTAGTCCTGCTTTTTCAACTTTAGCCTTATTGTTGGCTCTACAGTATAGCTGAAAACAACACAGCTCATGTTGCTTTGCCCTAGATAAGGCTAGTATGTATTTGATAGTACAAATATTAGTGAAGGAAATGTGGCAACTTCTGACAAGAAATCATAATAAACCTAGAAACAATAGGTTTTACACAGCTGTTTAAACTGAAGCTGTCTGATTTATAACAACAATTCAGCTTTATGTTTATTATTAGTACGTTGTATATTTGCTTGGTATTTTGTCCTTATTATGTCAACTGTTGGGCTGCAGTTATTTTTATTATCAATTACTGCTTGAAATATTGCTTAAAATGGCTATAATTTATATTTTTATATTAACACTGTATCAAATGACAATTTGGAAACCGGTGTCTTTATAGTGAGTTTCAGTTCATTGTTTAGCTGTTCAGCATCTTGGTTCCCTCTCACCGATCTCATAGCATCATTTTCTGGCTCGGCAGCTGTTTTCAGTGAAAAAAAGATCTAAAGCCCCATCATACATTACCTTCTCAGCACCAAACAGCAGACACACACAGTTAGCCACTAGCTGGTGAGCGTAGTAGAGAATTTAGCAGCTATAAAGCCAGATATTTTTCTAAGCAGTTGATAGGGATAAAAAACAGAGCTAAAAGCACAGTGAATATTGGACTTTTCCTGACAGTTCATCAGGTGGTCAGATTCATGACTCATTCAGCATGGAAAGGACATCTACTTAACTTGGTTACCAGTTTTAAAGGGAGTGAGACATTAAGCTTTATTTAGGGCTGGTCCAAATGTAATTTTTTTGAGCTTCAAAGCTTTGACAGTAAATAACAGCGATTAATTGAAGCTTTGGGGGTAATACAGCAGTTTTGCCGATTGTTTAAACCGAACGTGTGATGAAAAGCTGGCTGTCATGAGCTACAGCTACATATTTGATAAATATAAGCAGAACAGCAAAAGAAGGATAAATGCCCAAGAGGTTCTGGCAATGACATGAGTGAGGGAGAATGGGAGAATCCGATGGGGAGAGATAATGGCGGCTCATTAATGTCTGTGTGTGTGTGTGTGAGAGAGAGAGAGAGTGCTCCGTTTTTTAATTCTTACATAGGGCTAACTAAAACAGCAATTATTATTACCAGTGCTTTGTTTTTAACTGTGTTATGTCTAGTCTAGTAGACCCTAGTGCAGGACTTGAATGAGGAGTTAGATAAAAGAGGAATATTTACTGCGGGGTTGAAGGAATGGGGGATTGAGCCGGGGAAAGGATTAGTGCGTGCCGAACCGGGTTGGTGCTGCTGTGCAGAGTAGGTTGGAACCGTAACTACCTGATAGTCCATACTGAGAGGCTGTACTGAGCAGGCCCAGAGCAGAATATGGAAATATATTAGACGGATGAGCGCTATTTGTGGTAGTGGGACTAAAACAACAAGTTATAGGCCTAATGCGTTATCACTTTTAACTTTTATTATAGCCTACTACATGTTCTTCTTCAATCAGCCTAATATAATGATTTAAATGTGTTCATTATGTTTGTTGTAGCCTACAGTTTAGGCTACTGATTCATTTTCAAATGTAGGCTATTTCACTTTTTTGATCTGTAAAGAAATTAAGCAATTGTAAAATGAATAAACCCCACAACTGTCACACTGCCCTTGTCATCATTTAGTTTAAAGTGCTCTCACACAGCTGAGGGCTTCATTTTGCTTTCCCTTTGGTGTAAATTGGGGCATTACTGTGAGCAGAGGTCAGGCATGCGAAAAAACCCCTGAACATTTGAATCTCCAAGATTCTGAAAATCGAATTTGGACCCAACGATTGAATATTCCAATATTCAATAATGCAATGACTTTTTAGTCATAGATAGTAGATAAACATTTTTCATTAGGCATCTGGTGGCCATGTTGAACTCAGAGCAGAACAAAAAGAAAATGAACTTACAATGACCTTGCACACACCAGATGTTTGGACATTGTTCTTTGTGATTTCTTCTCTGTGAGTTCTTATGGCTGTGTCTGTGTTGTGAAAATCACAGATAGACTCCATATATTTTGCTGAAACAGTGTTTTATTCCAAAAAAAACACACTATTCTTTTTCTTCATTGTCCTTCCTTGTTCTTTCTTGAGAACTGGGCACAGAGACTATTATGACAACATGCCTCCCAGCAGGGATTAGTGACTCATTTATAGGAAACAAACTCGACCTGAATTAGACCATCCTCTAATTCAATGGAAACACAGCATCATTGCGTAAACTGTTGACTCAGCATAATGCAAACTGCATGTTTATTAATAGGTGTGGTTTAAGAATAAAATGGACAATTTGTGATTGAAATACTGTTTGTCTGTTTTTACTAGGCAATTTGAAAGCAGAGCACAGTGCCAATTATGAATGATGGGGTATTAAATAGTGGAACAGGATGTATTTTTCCATAGCTTGTGTAGAATTGTGTTGGAGAAGAAAAGGACCAAAAGCAAAACTTTAACCGGTGATTTAGACAGACAGCAAAACAGTCTGGCACAATTTGTTCAGTAGTCTTACACAGGAGTATTTTGTGACATTGATTAGATTGTGTAACTATTGTGACATAATGTGATTGTGTTTGTCCTATCAGGTTACTGGGAGAGACACAATGAGGATCCTCTGGGCTCTGCTCTGCTGCTGCTGCTGCTGCTGCTGCTGGACAACGCAGGCAGAGATCTTCACTTCCATTGGTAGGATTAAAGCATTGTGTGTGTCTTGCCCTTATTATTTTTGTTAGATTAAAATGTACACCTCCACAGGTTACCTAACTAGGCTGTTTCATATTCGTAATTGGGAAAACTGAAGCTTGTTCTGCTGTCACACTCACACTGTGAAAATTGCCCTGAATAGGAGCATCAGCAGAGAGACACAGTTTTTGAGCTCAGGAATGTATGTCTTTCCTTTGCCATACAAAATTGTTTTACATGGAGGAAGTGGCTAGGAGGCTAGTAAAGTCTGTGTTTATTTAAGGGAACGCTGAATAGCTTTTAAGAGAAATAATTGTGGTCCACTGATTCCTTCAATCAAATCTGAAAAAAAAAGTATTGTGCTCAGTGCTGAAACACTATTTTTGCTGGGGAAATTAAGATCTCATGATCACACTTTATAAGAAAAAACAAAAGGTACCCTGCAAACATCCACCATTTACAAAAGTGCTTTTGATACTCAGTATGCATCACATCACTCAGCAGGCTGCATCTCATGAGTTAAACAGTCCACTAAATCACACTGATGTACTGCATTTGGCTGGTCAGTTATGCTGGCTGTACGCAAAATAAATAAACGAAAGTGTTTCATTATGCTTCATATTTGGCAACCTCTATGAATTAATCATGCCTGAGTGTTTCCATGGAATTGTTCACAATGCAGGCTACACCCCAACCCTTCTGTCAAAGGCTCATGAACGACTCACTGTAGTTGCGGAGTAATTCTATGCAATCAAAGCCCCAAAGTGTGTGGCTATGGATTTATTTTTACCTTGGTGTAAGTGTGAGGCAAACAGTGTTGCCAGGAATACATTTTTATAGGCCTTTAAAGCAAAGCACAACAGAGGTCAAAGTTGTTAGTGGGACTGTCATTACTAGCAACGTTTTCTGTTCAATGTTAGAAAATATATTTATTTATATATTTGATGGAGATATATTAGAAGTTTGTAGATTTGCCTTGGAAAGACTAAACCTGCACATGACCTTGAATTAACAGAAGCAAGGAGAAATACATGAATCCTGTAGCTGTTTGACATGTTTTAAAGGAAATTAAAATGTAAAATGACAAATGTTTTTAAGTGAGAAAAGTGCTGCTGATTTTATCTTCAGTGACACCTCACTAATCTGCAGTCTCTACCTGACTGTCTCTGCAGCCCAAATGACAGACCTGATCTTCACAGAGAAAGAGTTGGTCCAGTCTCTGAGGGAATACATAAAAGCAGAGGAGGTTAAGCTTGCTGCTGTAAAAAGGTACATTCACACCCTGACTTAAACCAAGTACTGTACTTGAGTACAATTTGGAGGTAACTGTACTTTACTTCAATATCTCCATTTATGCTTCTTTCTACTTCACTACATTTTAGAATTCTTTTCACTCTACCACAATTATCTGACCGTTAAAAATTATAAGTTACTTTTCACTTGTGACCTCTTACATAAATGTAGTGTCAATTTGGGGCTCCTTGTCACATTTCAGATGTCTATGAGTTGTTAGCAGTCCCACCAGAGAGCAATTTCCCACATAAACTCTCTGTTTCATTTAACTTTCATTCCACTTTTACAGCAGTAACAGCACTTTTTCTGTCTTTTTCTCTTAGCTGGGCCAACAAACTTGATGATCTGACCAGAGTGTCCACCTCTGACCCAGAGGGCTACCTGGCCCACCCGGTAAACGCCTACAAACTGATGAAGAGACTCAACACAGAGTGGTCTGACCTGGAGAGCCTGGTGCTTCAGAACCCCTCTGAAGGTCAGTAAGTATGGAAGGAAGGAAGGAAGTACGTAATTCCTTAATTACTGACTTATACTTATATGGATCTAAGCCGATACACGAACAGACTTTCAGGTCCACATACACACACACACACACACACACACACACACACACACACACTCTTCCTAAGGAAAGGAAGGAAGGAAGGAAGGAAGAAAGGAAGGAACTAACTCAAGATGTAAACTTCAAAAAAGTTCCTTCCTTCCTTATACGTATCTGGATGTAGACCGAAACATGCACAGACTTTCAGGTCCATATGCATGCACGCACACACGCACGCACGCTTACTCAGGACAGGAAGGAAGGAAGGAAGGAAGAAGGATAGATGGATGGATAAAATTTAGTTTTGCTCAGAGCATTGATGTGCTTTATTTGTGTAAAACACATCCTGTCTATGAGGCTGTGTTCTTTGGCCACATGTAGCTACGGGTCTGTAGTCGGAGAGTATACAGATATTTGCTGTGATAACAAGACTAGGAACAAAATTTTCATCTAGACTAGTTCCATTTTCGCTGTATTAATTAGTTGCACATATGGAAATTACTGGAAATTTGACTCAAGTTGAAACAGTTTCAACCAGATGAGATACATCTTTGCATCAGTTTATGCTACCTTGGCCAAATCTACATCTGTTAGCCTTTCCCTGACATTCAAGCCACGTCAAAATAACTCGAAAAATGCATCCAAAGGGCAGACCTCACCACTTTTTTCTATGGGGCTTCTCTCTGAATGAGCAGAGAGCGAGTGGCAAGCAAATATAAAATCCAGAGCGGATGTGAGCAGAGTGATTACAGTTTTGACTGCAGAGTGGAAATTTCTGCTGAGCTGCACTGCCCAAATACTCTGCTCCCCAAATGAACAGAGTGAAAACAAGCTACAGATGTTCCTCATCTCTCCATATTTTGGCCATGTTCTCCCTTTGTCTGTGTGTATGTGGACCTGAAAGTCTATGCGTGTTTTGGCCTAAATCCATATCTGTGTGAGCCAAATAGAATGGAAAAATATTGTTTATGAAAGAAAGTGAAAGATGGAATTTGGACCTTGGACAGTCTTGCATAACTTGCGTGAGAAACTCATTCATCTAGAATAAAGGTGCATATGCTGAGTACCACAGAGCACAGAGAAATCAATGTCCCATCTGCCTTTGGGATTTCTCAGACTTTACTGAGCAGCAGATGGTGACGTCTGATATGTTGTGATGAAATAAGAGGAATATTGAGCACCAGACATGATAACACTTACATGGTACATTGGGAAATGTTAGTAGTTAACATTAGCCACACAATACACTGAACTTAATTTGATTGATTGGTATATTCAGCATAAGAGGGATAATATTGGTCACTAAGAGCAGAGGCTCTATTTATTTACAGAATGTCCTGCACTGCTTGGCAGGAAAGTTTGCACCGACCATGGGTTAGAAGCCTGAATATATCGAAGATCCTGGCAATAGCCAATGTGCCATTGTTTCATTGTTTTTGCTGGAAACAAACACTGAGACAAGGTGAGCGATTCAGAGAGGAGGAAAGGAAAGAGGAGAACTTTTAATAGACTAAGTTTTTAATTGATAAATAAAAATCAGTAAAAATTGTATCGTTCAAACTTAAAGAGACTAAATAAGTAATTCAAAGGAGTTTAATGCTGGTGTGCATGTTCACACCTTCTCCTCCACACCTCCTTTGTGTGCATGAACCATAATTAAACATGGCTCCAAGTTAACAGAAGATTTAACCGGCTATCCATTGAAACACTGTTGTTTTGTATCAGCGGGTACAAAACTGACCTTTGAGTATTTAGCTTTTAGGTTACTAAGTTATTACAAACTTAAACATTAATATGCTGGGTGTCATGCTTGGATTAATTTGGCCAGTCATAAATTTGTTTGTTTTTTAATTCTCATAAACATCCTGGCATTTCCAACACAACATTTTTTTAGCTTTTCTTACTTTCTCACTCCAGGGTTCATTTCCAACATGTCCGTACACAGACAGTACTTCCCAGATGAAGAGGACGAGACGGGTGCAGCAAAGGCGTTGATGCGTCTTCAGGACACGTACCAACTGGATTCTGAGGCCTTCTCCAGAGGAAAGCTGCCGGGTAACCAAGGAGTGTGCAGTGATCATTTGAGAGAACCTGAATATATTAAGAGCGATAGAGTAGTGTTTAATTTTAGAAAAAAAAAGCAAGCAAAGCAAAGCAAGCTGAACCCACCAATAATGAAATAAATGATGTGTTTGTGTTTATAGTACTCTCTTTGTAATAAGCACTTTAAGTTTTGGATCTCCCGACAGTGCACATTTTTTGTGTAATTAGGTCATGTTGACCAGTCCTTACTTTAGTTTAAGGTGCGGCTGGAGCTGGAGTTTAGTAGTTATTGCTTTCTTTCGGGGCCATGATTGGATTCAGGATAAATGTGGATGTAACGAAGCGACTGACTTAATTACAGTTGCATCATACACAGACACATGTTGAATTCATTGACCTCAAACTCAGCTTTATTTGTTAATACATCACTGATCAAAGGACATAGACCTAGCTACAGTGTGGTCTGCACTAAGGTCTTGTTTTATGCTAGAGTTGCAAAAAAAGTGTGCATATATTTAAAATATCATTTAAAAATATCATTTATATGCACTTAAAGCATAGTTGCTAGGTTTGCAATCTCATTTCTGTGGCATCTAATTTGGACACAATACAAGCATGTAGAAGTATGTGTCTGTTTACTTAATGAGGCACAAGCCTGTTTTTGTTTGTGTGTATCTGGGCTTGTGGGCTCTGCTTTCCTTGCTGAACTGGGATCCAGTAACCTTAGCTGATAGTTACTTATAAATGTTGCGTTATCGCCATCTACTGGAAAGTCTTTTTCTTCGCTGCACTTCGGCGCAGAAGAACAGTCTCCACACATACACAGCAATAAGTGGAGATTCACAAATATATTTCCTTTGATAAAAGCTCAGTTGATGTACAAAAGATGATATCCAAGTTGTAAATTTGAGACACAGATAGAGATCCAATTTTACAGATACAACTCACTGTACATTTATTTGTGTTATGTTACGAGTTACTTGTCATTTGTTTTGAATACTTATGAGACTGTTCTCATCCCATATAACAAACCCACAACCGGTTTGGCTGTGCTGCAGATAGCACTGCTATACAGTTCTTGCACATGTAACAACAAAATCAGTAGGAATAATAAACTAATTAAAAAAGCTTGCATATGAATATTGTTGTAAGTTTTAAAGAAAATGGATGATCTGTGTTTGTAAGTTTCATCCAAACCCTAAACCTTTATTCTAATACCCAGGTACTTTTCACTCATAAATAAAAAAAGGTGATTTTTGGTTAGTAATATCGCAGTACAATATGGTCAGTATTTAAATTAAATGAATCATCCCACAGGTATGCACTCTAATGCCCTACTGACAGTGGATGACTGCTTCGACATGGGGAAGACGGCTTATAATGATGCAGACTATTACCATGCTGTGCTGTGGATGCAGCAGGCCTTGAAGCAGCTGGATGCTGGGGAGGAAGCTGTAGTTTCCAAGGTGGACATTTTGGACTATCTCAGCTACTCTGTCTACCAAATGGGAGACCTACCTCGAGCCATTGAGCTGACACGCCGGCTGGTGGCTATTGGTAAGGTGCAACATACGCAAGTGTACAGACTAAAGATATAATAAGCTCAAATCAGTGTGCGCACTAATATACATTACACATACTCTTATTTATTTATCTCAGCCTGAGTCAGACTCATTATTTGTCTTTCTTGCAACCATAAATGATGGGTGAATGGGTTCATGGTCTCAATTTGAGAAATCTAAAATAGTACTTTTGATATGTATTTAAACATCCCTGTCGAATTTTGTAGTTGCCTCCCATAACAGGCACCAATACAACCATACTCCTCAACTGTGGGGTAATTGATGGGTTGTCTTCTTGGTGTTTAACTAATCGCTACATTGCACCCTCCTTTCTCACTGCAGTGGTGCTCAGTGCTTGCCAGGGTAGCAGGGTTTGGTCTATCCAAAATAAGGGCCCGTGGTTTGAAACTGTTATTTTAGTCTCCCCATGAAGGGCTGTGTTGACAGCTGCAGGCCATCTTTTTAGAGCTGTGGTATGCTTGTTTACATGTCAAGTAAAATGAATTGAGGCAGAGCAGATGTAGATGCAGTTTGTGCCATCAGGTGTGACAAAAGTACCACAATCAAAATTCACATGTAACAGCTCATGCACATATAAAAAAAAGAGTAAATACAATCTTACTGGAAATGTAGGAAAGAGGAGGAGCAGAGAGAAAAGCAACTAATTACTTTTATTATGCTTTCACGGGCAAATGATAAAAGTCACCAACAGATATAGTACATTGCATTTGTTTAAAAGAGCAACAAAAGTAAGTAACAAAATTGCAGAAACATACAGAGTCAGAGGTCAAAACAAATGTACATAATACAAACACATTAATGTGTTATAGTACAGTACATAAAAATTAGCTAGTCTAGATAATGCAAGAAAGATCATGCATGAAATTGAAGAAGAGAGATTAGCATAAGCAGTTTCTAAAGTTATCACATGTTTTGAAATGATTTACTTTGTAAATTAATACATTAAAGTAAATAAATGAATAAAGCTTAGGAAAGCTAAAACTAGAGAGGCAAGAGTCATCAAGATTCACAGAGTCATGTTTACATTTACCTGATGCTTTTATCCAAAGTGACTTACAATTTCTATACATGTCAGAGGTTGCACACCTCTGGAGCAACTAGGGGTTAAGTGTCTTGCTGGATGGGTCACAGTGGGGGATTGAACCCAGGTCTCTCTCACACCAAAGGCTGGCGTCTTATCCATTGCGCCATCACCACCACCCCCACAGAGCAATTATTTTTCTATTTTTATTTATTTATCTGTGGTGACTTGAGTAATAACATGTTATTTGCAGGCAAGGTGACAACAGAAAGGGACAAAACTTCAACACATTATTCTGCTTGTCAGTGAAGATTTGAGCCTAACAACATTTTTCTTGCATTGACAGACTCCAGCCACCAGAGGGCAGGAGGAAACCTCCGTTATTTTGAGCGGTTACTGTTCAAGCAGCTTAATGAGCTCAATCAGGCCTACCAGCCGGCTTCTGAGGAGCCCATCCAGCTGGGAACGTACAGCAGGCCTAAAGACCATCTCCCAGAGAGAGAGGCCTATGAGGCCCTCTGCAGAGGAGAGGGGCTCCAAATGGTGAGACAAGGGAAAAATAAAGGCATGTTGAAAATTAAGGAATTAAAAAGTGACAGCAGCTTAGGATGGGCTATAAACCACTCTGTGACAGGGAGAGAATGCTGAATCGTCCCATATAATTATAATATGTTATAGATTCAGTCTCACCTATCCTCTTTCCTCACCAGTCTTAGTTTTATAGAGGTCATCAAGGAATAAAAACAGACTCTCAGTGTCCCAGCTAGGAGCATTTTTATTTTTTTAGATGTAGATGTAGCCGAACGAGCAAACTGCAGTGTAATTTATGGTAATTATTTTTCATGTTGGGGTTCAAACTTAAAATGAACAGTTTTAAAATGTGTAAAATGTGGAAATACAGAGAGCTGTGACAATGAACTCTGTGCCGACTGTGTGAACAGTTTTGAAAAAGTGAACACAGTATTGAGAAACGTGTGTTAGTAATTGTAAAAAGAGATCCAAATGGAAAATTCTATACAAATGAGACAAAAAGATTTAGTATTTTCTGTTTCTCCTATGTATTTTACTAGAACGAGGTGAGGCGCAGCCGTTTGTTCTGTCGCTACCAGGATGGTAATAGGAACCCCCGTCTCCTGCTGAAGCCCATCAAAGAGGAAGATGAGTGGGACAGCCCTCACATCGTACGCTACCTGAACATGCTGTCAGATGAGGAGATTGAGAAGATTAAGGAGCTGGCTAAACCCAGGGTGAGAGAAAAAAGAAATCAGAATCACCTTTGTTGGCCAAGTACATATAGGAATTTGACAACAAATGTCCCCATTGCTCTCACACACATACATAGACATAACGCTTACCAAGGACAACTAAGCTAAACAAATAAAGGTAAAGAATAGACATAGATATGTACACAAGTATGTGGAAAAAAATAGGTGTAGCACCAATTACATAGCGACAACATAAAAGAAGATGTTTATATAAGTCAAGGTTTTTTGGAAGTTGTAAACAGTACAAATAGAACAAAGAATATTGAGTGAATAATAATGGAATTGTATGAAAGTCAGTCCTACATGCTGTATATACAGTACAGGTGACATGATGTCTGGTTCTCTGCCTTCCTGATTTTTTGTCTCTGAAAGAGTTGACTCACATTCTTTTCAAATATCCTGAGTGCATGCGGGATTGTTTGTGTATTGTATAAGGTTTTATGTGTGTGAAAGGATCTGGGAAATATAGCGATTTTCTCAACTTTAAAATATATCTTCACCGTGTGAAAAGGCCAGAAAAAGTGTCTGCTCAATATTTAACCAGGAATGTTTACCTTGAACAAAGACAAGCCAATGCATCTCGCTTCAAATCCTGTCTGCTCTGCTGTAGTTGTAGGCTGGAACCATCTTGTCAAGAGCTGAGAACTAAAAAATAGTAACTCTCCAAACAACAAAATATGTAGTCATTCAGAAGCTAAATAAGAAATACAGAGAAGAAAATCTGTTGCTCATGAGCTTATCACATCAGGCAATGGTGCTGATTAAGTGCTTTTTTTGTATTAAAGACATTCTAAATAAATTGTACAGACCAATCATTCTTACGTTCTGAATGTATAAAAGCTGGTCTTCTATACAAAAATCTGAAAATAGAATAAGAAATAGATATTCAGAATATGATATGTAGAGTAATTAATGGGTGGGTAAACACTTTTGTGGCATGACACAGATATGCCACACATTAAAAAATGGAACTGTTATGTGTAATGTTTATGATGACAAACAATTGTTTTCTTTATTTCTGTGTTGTTGTTTTTTAAGCTTGCCAGAGCTACTGTTCGTGACCCCAAAACAGGCGTTCTGACCACTGCCAACTACAGAGTATCAAAAAGGTAACTCATTCTGGAGAAGAGTTACGTTAATACAATTTTATGACATCATGTCAAATCAAAAATTTAAAGAAGCTGCATATCCATCCAGTGTTAGTGTTATGTGTGTGTCTGCATGTGTGCTTGTTTCAGTGCATGGTTGGAAGGAGATGATGACCCCGTCATTGACAGAGTCAATCGGAGAATACAAGACATCACAGGCCTCGCAGTAGACACTGCAGAGTTACTACAGGTAATTTAATACATACTACAAAATTACATTTGTGTTATATAATATCAGGGATGCAAACACATCAGGGGTGAAAAAGATGACAAAGATGCGAACCCCATAGAGGGGTCTAGGGGCCTGCACCTCTAGGAAGATAACAACTTTAACGTGTGGATTTAGAGTTGATTTTAGCTTGAGGATGTAGGGAATATTAATAGGTAGAATAATCTCACTGCTACAAAAGTAATGTAAGAGGACATCAGTTCAGGTCACTTACCAAAACAAATAGACTCAGGAGAGTGCAGATATTAGAATGCATTGCATCAACTATACAATACTGTTCATAAAACAAAACAAAAACACAATATGCACAACAAATGACAAATCTGATATACTTTGGCAGAGAGAGAGAAAGAGAGAGACTGTCCTTTCTTTTTGGCTTGTAGAGTCTCAAGCGTCTGCTTTCTTTGTTTTGTAGCGTGCTAAAGTCTGACCCTTTTTTCCTCCTCAGCTTTCGCCCCTTTGCTCTCACAAATATGCTAGCTACCATTACCACCTAAAGTTACATTCAAGTTGTGATGGCTAGCTGTTGCAAAACCAAAACAACTCAACCATGTCAGTCTAATTAACAGTCCCAAGCTTGACATATCATCATATATACAAGTTAAGATTATTATAGATCAAGATTATCATAACACTAGAACTGACCTCCCAGAGACTGCTCCCTTAAGTCTTCACTCTCTCTCTTCTCAGGTGTGTCAACAGCAGTGTATCCTACAGATGTATCCATACAGATGTCAGTGTCACAATATTATGATTCATGCACATGCATTGTAGTTTGGCAGTTCATTTTTAATCATATTGTTCTCTCTATGTAAATCACCTTTGTCAATGGTGGACCAGGTTGCTAACTATGGAGTTGGAGGACAGTACGAGCCACATTATGACTTCTCAAGGGTGAGTTTACTTTTGGATGAAAGTGTGTGTGTGTTTGGGGAAGAAGAAGAAAGAATGAAATATAAAGTTTGAGGAGATTGGACAGAAATTAATGGCAACACCAATTTGAATGTTGCCATTATGGTAATAGGCCAATCTGTAGAGCTGCCAGTAATGATGTATTCATTTGAACAAGATTCTTTATAATATTAGAAAATGTTGGTGGCCTGCGCACACGACAGAGTAGGAAAACAATTGTAATTACATTAGGTATTGTTTTAAACTTTATTGGGTAATTTGTGGGACAAATTTTCTGATTCTGGCAACATGAAACGTCCTTGCTACTCTTATTTGTGTGATCTCTGACTGCTTCATCTTTACGTTATGTTGCTAAAACTAGTGGTGGTGTGTGCCAGGGGTTCCCTGATTCTACCTTCGTGATGCCAGTATCATCAGATAGTCGGGGCCAGAGCTTCCGACATAAACAGTGGCTGGCAATGCTAATCTAACATTGTGGGTAATGGAGTCTTCATGTTCCAAAAGTATCTTCTTCCTGATGTTTTTTTGGGGGTTGGCAAACAATGAAATAGTGCATTACTGACACCAACTGGCATGGAGTGTGTTGGGCTAACAATAATAATAAATAAAATAAAATAACTGAGAACACAAACTATCATATCTATAATTAGATTTGTTCTCCTCTGATAATGAAACAAAACTAGAAAACATTTGTTTCCTTATCTGCAAAATGTCACATAAATTATTTTGGTCTCTCTCTCAGCTTCATATGTTTATGTGTTTTGGAATGAATGTAAGACAACAATGTTGCCAAAGCTACAAACAAATTACAAAAGAATAATTCATTTTATACAGTTCATTTCAGTTCTCTCTTTCTCCCACTGTATCTCAAACTTGAACAAATAACAGCTCTCAATAATCTTGTCTGTTTAATCCATTGTAATGCTAACAAGGTTTTGTGCATTTCTCAGCTGTAAACTGTTAAACCATCACTGATTCTTTTCCCCTCCTTAAGGTAAAACTGCCGCTCAGATTTTATTGATTGAATTCTTTGAAGCATCTCTAATTATAACTGTTGTGGTGACCTTTATTGTTATTATCTTTATTGTTCGTGAATTCAAAATAATCTGTTCAATTAATGTAAAATCTGCTGTAGGATCAGGAAGTATCCATGCTTGTATTATAGTTATAGTTGGCCTACTTCCTTCCTTGATACTTGATCCTTCTTAAAGTGCTGCTAATTTTTTTACATCATATTTTTAATATCGATCTAGCTTACTGCGATGTGCTGTGACAGCAAAGTGGCTCATGCCAGCCAGACAGCTAATGCGCCCGGTAACAATGATGACGAAACTCTATCTTTGATAAGATTCTGCCCCAACTAATCGTGCTGTTACCAATTTCAGTAGTTGATTTCGTTACAAACAAACTAATAGTTAATAAGCCTCTAGTGCCATTATTATACACAGTATTATCTTGAAATCCTCCTTCTTTTGAACAACCTGCTTACTTTCATCTGATCTACTTTCCTCAAGACTCCTTTCATTGCTCTGAACACCACAATATCTACCATGCCTCACTCTTTCATACCAAATCCTCTTCTGCAATGAACCAGGGTCACATCTCCAAATATCCCTGTTCCCATTGGGTGTTCTATCTGACAAACATTTATGAATTTCATATGAATAATAGTTGTATGCACTACTGAATGTGCATCTGTGCAGCTGTTTTGCTGCAGAATGATTTATTATAATGCAAAGGGTCATTGCAAAAACAATCTTATTTTGTTATTACTCACCCAAGATTAAGAAAAAGAAGATGATTAGTGGTCATTAGTGGTCCTCTGTGCCTATCCTTTAAAGAAATAAGTGACTTCATGATTAAGTACACATGATTAAGTGTTCCATGTTTATTGTGCATTATGTGCTTTTGAGCATATAATTTGAAGCTCTTTTTTTACTTAGATGAAAGATATAGTTGTGATTCAGTAATTTTTCTGACAGATAATGACGCAGTTTTTATATGATGTGAGTGTAGTTAGTGCCCTCTGTGGCAGGTGAGTCTTTCTTTGGTTAAACCTTTTAAAAATCTGTTGCAGCGCCCTTTTGACAGCAGCCTCAAGGTCGATGGAAATAGACTTGCTACTTTCCTAAACTACGTAAGTACATGTGTGTGCGAGAGAGCAGAGTTTTCATCATGTATTTTCACTTTTGAATTTTATCTTTGTAGAAAGATGAGCCTGATGCTTTCAAAAGATTAGGCACTGGAAATCGTGTGGCAACTTTTTTGAACTACGTAAGTACGTTCGTTCAGTCGCCATTGATTGAAGGATTGTGGTTGTGACCGAAATCTATGCACCATCCTTCTTTTTGTTTTACCTTCATGGGCATATGCATAAGCTCTGGCTCAATCTTGGACTTGGATTGATTGACTTTCATAAAGGTTCACTAATTGGTCTGAAGTGTGGTATTTAAGTCATATAGTTAAAAATAGAATTCCTTAATGTAATGGGGCAAGACACTGTTATAGTTCTACAGATGTTGGGGATATAATAAAAAAAGTGCTGGATTAATATCTTATTACCTGGATGACTGAGAAACTTTTTTCTTAGATATTTGTCTAAAAAGGTTTTCTGTCAATCAGTTCCAGTACATGTTGTGGAGAGTTTTGTTGAATATCCCCCATTAACACACTGATGTAGAATCCACTCTTTATTTTATCCTTGATGACACTGGGTTGAACAAAATAAAATGATAAAAAAAATAGAGAAAAAAAGATTTTGTTTTTTAATGAGGTATGAATTGGTTGACGTTTGCTGTTCACCCTGGTGCATGATGTGCTTTTGAACACATGATGTGGACAGGATAAAGCAGATATAACAGGACTAATGAACCCCATGCTTCCTGCAGGGAAATAAAATAACACAATTCAGTTTATAAATCAACACATTCAAGAACAAGCTTCGACAAGTTTGACACATTTTTTAAAAAACTGTTCAAGAACGGTATAGATCCAGAAGGGATTAGAGGTAGAGGTTCTACATTAAAACAGAGGTCAAGTAAAACACCTCACAAAGTTACAGGACGTATTTTAGATAATAGACCCTCATGTTTGACTCAAGGAGAAATAAATGTATTATAGGACACAACTGATCATCACAGTTAAGTAACATGATCTAGATGAATGTCCTTATTAAACAATGTGATGAAATTGCATGTGGGACATCTGATGGGTCAGTTTTAAGGAAACGTATTCCCTTTTCCTTCAGTCTTGTCTTCCTTCACTGTAGTGCTCATAGCAACTTTGCATGTCATTTTGTGCCCCTTCAAGACCTTCACAGAACCTTGTTTTTTTATCATACACTATTATTTGTATATTTTTTGCTAATGAAATGACTTAAAACATTTAATTAGTCAATTAATTAGCATCCACTGGAATGTATTGGTGTAAACACATTTTAAAAAAGTATATTATTTAGTTATTATTACATTTGCCAACAAATATCTTCAATAACATAATATGCTTTAAATATTGAAATTTAATCTGTTGCTTTGAAAAGAAAAATGAATGGATGATTTCCTAAGCCACAAGCGTATATTTGTTTTTTATATGAAATGTACGCTTTGGGGTTGTTCAATACTGTACCAGAGTGTTTTCTTTGAAGAAAATACAGAGGAAGTCTCCAACTTTGTTGTCTTTTCTCAGATGAGTGATGTCGAGGCAGGAGGTGCCACAGTCTTCCCTGACTTTGGAGCAGCAATCTGGCCAAGAAAGGTGATGACAATGACGTTTCTGTGTGCACTTTAGAGTGGATGTGGACTTATGTGAATCTCGTAGTTCCTCTTCATAGTGTGTTGGGTATGTTTACTTTATACTGCGAGTGTCCCCAACGGGAAACAATGTTGGTGTCACTTTAAAGATCAATGTGCAGAGACTCAGTGTCAGTCCTGTCAGTCTTTTAAGTTCTGACAGAATGATTGAAGATCTCATTGGGAGGCTCCCTGTGCATTCTGTGTTGCATAGCAAATTGCCAAAGACCTTACTTGGCACTGAAAATTGATGAAAGATGAAAACATTTTCAGTTTTGGAATGGAAGACTGTAATTTTTTTTCATTGGCTAATCAACAATGCTGTAGCAATGTAAGCCCACGAATTGTCCAGTCAAACAATAGCTTAGTGTTGACTGACTTATTTTACATGTGTGTGCAGTTGTTGTTGTTGTTGTTGTTTTAATATTTTTGGTATATTTTGGTATTCGCAAAGCTTATTTACACGTGTTTTCACAAATTTGATTTAATTTGATTATTTTTTCCAATCACTTCCTTGTACACTTCCCAAAAAATGTTTTAAACAAAATATAAGCTACAATCTGAATCAATATAATACACACTCCATGATCTTAAAAAGGAGCAGGGAAAATACTTGCCCCTTTCTTAACTCAAGTAACACATCGGTCTGTCAATGATTTTAACAAACTTTTTGTGTGTGTGCATGTGTGTTGTATCATCCGCAATCTAAAGAAATTATAACATTTTAAAACTTTACAAATATCATTAATATGTAAAAACTAAAAGGGCCTAATACTGACCCTTGTGGGACTCTACATTTACTGTAACCTTCATACATTGAGATATACTGCCAGTAAACGGTACATTCTGCTGTTTGTTATTATTTGCTTAATATCTGCACTGTTCTTCACTTAATAATTTGTTCTTTTCCCAAAGTGTCTCATTTTAAAACAAACAACTTTTCAATGATCTTTGAAAACTGGGAAAGTAAAGACAGCAGCCTATAATTAGGATACGCTTGTTTATCTCCATTTTGATAGAGTGGGCTGACCTTCAGTAATTTTCCTTCAGCTTTTAAGTAGTGTTTGCATTTGTGGCTTATGTCTTTATCAATTTTTTTGCAACCCTGAAAAGGCTTATATAAGGCTACTTACCACAATTTTATTTAGTGTCACACACACATCGTTAATGTGGCAAGCAATAAAATAATTGTCAACCAACCAAATGTCTGCTTGAGGAACATGTGGGTTGGTATGTTGCTGTTCTCAGCTTGAAGCCACTAATGCTCTAGGTCTTTTTTATTTCAGCATCTGTCTCATTTCATGTTGGATCTTAGCATTCCTTGTCTCTTGTGCACATTGGATGTTACCATAAATTTTTCATTTGTGTCATTTCTCCAAAGGGGACGGCAGTGTTCTGGTATAATCTGTTCAAGAGCGGGGAGGGAGACTATAGGACCAGACATGCAGCCTGTCCTGTCTTAGTAGGAAGTAAATGGGGTGAGTCAAAGTTCAGAATCAAAAAATTAATCATTGATACATTGATAAATTAAGCTAACAATATGTGTTATTTGTTAGGAAGATAACCCCACACATAATGAATTAGGGCTCAGCGATATGGCTGTATTCAAAGTCACGTGTCATTTCAGGAACAGCTGCTTTATCTTTAACCGCACCTTGTTACAGGTATAGTTGAGGGAAACTTAAGACGGACTGGAGTGACCTAGCTATCATTATCCATCTTTTCAGCCCAGGCAAGACGTTTTCACTTTTGGCTGTGTTTTTCCTAACTGTTCAAGAGAGAAATGTTGGACCACAAACAGAAATGTTTTCACCAGAAAAAGAAGGGGAACAATTGGGGATGATTATATTTTAGCCATGGAAACAGGCGGCGTCCATGGTGTCCTTTGATGTAGAGAGGTAACGACACAGTCTATCATTAGTACACTGTGCTGCATGAGAGGCTCAACCCTTCGAGTGGTGCTAAAGGTGCCTCAATCACTGGGAAAGAAATGAGTTTCTTTTGTTTTTCTATTAAACAGATTTTTCTGTTTTCCAGTGTCAAACAAGTGGATTCACGAGCGAGGACAAGAGTTCAGGAGACCCTGTGGCCTGACAGAAGTGGACTAAAGTGTGACTCACACCTAAGGAACATGCAAACACACAAACATACACCCTCAGTAGTGCCTTAATTTTGGCAATGATGTAACTCACGTTCTACAACACTTAAGTGTTCTGTCCCCCAACTTGTCTACAGAGCTAAGAAATGTTTTATGAGGAAAATTATTGCACTGGTGTGCAGGATCTGGTTGGCAAATTTCTTTTCTTTTTTTTACCAGAAGATACAGAACTCACGTCTCTGTCATTCCCACACCAAGCCAACTTAATTCAATATGTGACTGTAACAGTGCAATCTTGGTTACAGATGTACACCCCATTGTATACTCATTAAAATCGAATTTAAAATTCAATTACTGGTAGATCCAAACGTGTGAGCCCTCTGCCAAATCTTTTTTCCACTGATACCAAAAACTTGTGTGTTTTTGCTCTCAGGTGAACAGTTTGTCCTCCAAACTGCTCCTTTAATGTAAAAACACCAAAACATACAGGAGGTGTGACAAAACCTTAAGTGGTGCCTCAGCAGGTTATTCAGATTTATTTGAATTTAATATACACAATTATTAAAGGTTTGATTTTTTTGGTTTTTGATTATTTCTGAATAAGAAGCAGAAACTAAGTGAAGTTAACAAGCTGTGTTTTGAAAATTGACTGCTTTCTCAGACTTTAGCCCAGCAGTAGACTTTGTTCCACATTCAGATATTACAAATTACAGAAGAGTTGACTATTAAATCTGCTATGAAATGCTACAACGCAAGTTGTTAAGCAAGGTTTTGGGAAGGACTGCCAACATGTTCATACATATTTTGCTGCAACTATCAGCAATGTTTGTTTACAAAAACACATCGGATGGACAGTGAAGCTATGGGCTAGTATTTGCTCTATTTAGAGGTTAATCTGGGAACCAGTCTAAGATAAACAACATCTCTGTGTTGATTGTAACAGCATTATCTTTTGATTAAAATGCCACTACTCCTGTCACCATTCTTTGTCATTTGCACCCAAAGTGTTAAATTCTCCTTCAATCAGAGAGAGAAATACATTTCCTCCAAATCATGTCCATGATATTTTTATTTATATAGTGCTTAAATTATTACAACATGACAAACAAGTCAAGTCAATAAACAGTGTCTTTTATTGAAATGTGTGGTGTCTTCATTCGCTATTTTACATGGTTCCTCACTCTGTAAACAAAACAATTACAACAATCTGCATGCAAACAATATGTTAGTCAATGTTTTGACTTTTAAGTTACTTGACTTAGTGGTGGACTGTAATTCACCATAGTTTACAGTAAACCAATGCTTTCTCACAGCAAGATGTGCTACAAAAGATAATTTTCTAGGACTGATTAAACTTTCTTACTGGTGATTAAAAAAGGTTATTATTATATTATTATTGGTTATTATTATAGGTTATTTGATCGTAACCCCAACCCTTTCATCAATCACAACCACATTACACTTGGTGACTTTGATGTTAATTTCAGTCAGTTATAAGGTGTGAACTTCATTCAGCAAGGCATCCTCAAACATCAGATCCTGGCAACAGTTTGTTGCAGCAGCTGGCAGCTTTATCTCACATGCAAATTTTGTGGAGCCTGTAAACATGTCAATCCAGAATCAAGAAATTCTGTCTCTGCATCTCGTGACATGAATATATGATGTGTGTATATATAGCAATGGTTGGGAGTGTAACGTGGCGGGGAAGCTAAATAAAAGTGTCATTGCTGCAGCGGTAAAGTTAAGAGCTTGCACAATATTGTAAATCCACCATGCTGTGTCTTTATTCACAGCTGTGTGCATATGTGCTTGTACTGAAGTGTGAACACTCTGAGTCCAGTGGTGCTATTCCATGGCCCAAATTAACCTACATATAATATCAAATATTGAATGAAAAGATAAACTCAGCAAGAGAGATAAAATGCGAAAGAAATACATGTTCATTACCCGTAAGCTAATAAATGACTGAACCCTTACAAAACAGATGAAGGGAGTGATGTGTTGAAACAATACTTCATTATTGGGCATGGATGATAACTAGTCACATCTGTGGTGTTGCCATAGAACACATTTATGGAAAAGGACAAATATTTAGGCCTATTCTGCATCAGATATATTAACAAAAAAAAATGTATTTTATGACTTGAGTCTTGTTTGCTGCATTTGCAAATTCATGTCAAACATAACTATTTCAAGAGAAGACCACCACTGTACCTATGATGTTGTTATGTTATATATTATTTCCATGTCTCTGTCCTGCTGTCATTTTTACATTGTTTGCTGACAGTATATCTCATTATAGACATGTTTTTGTGAAAAAATGTATCTGATTTTCATGTGTACACAATGATTATATCAAATAACATACTGAACGTGTCAAGTATATCTAACTTCCTACCAAATTACTTCAAGATGATGTCAAGTTGATCTTAAACCACAGACGCAATTGCCCCAAAGGAATACGTTGCAGCCACTTCAGCAGTTTGTACTTATCCTTTAATCTACTGCACAAATTTCAAAACTTTTTGTATCTACTACTAGTCATATCGACCCCAAAATGTGAAAATAGGGCCCAGGTTTAAAAATACCGCAATTACCCTTTAAAGTCACACGCCAGTCCTAGAATCATATCATATCATATATTAATGTAATGGAGAACTTATCTCTATGTCCTCAATTCAGACCATACTTTAGCATCGTGATTCTAACAAATCACACGAATGAAACACCCATTTGGTGTAAAACTGCCTAAGAAAAGATGTCAGATGTCATTTTAGAGGAAAAGGTGGGAGTCTGACCTGAAAAATTCGGGACTCTATATGGGCCTGCAACCAGAGGTGAAGAGATTTAAAGTTGGGGCTGCTGTAGCAGGAGGTGCTCTTTTTCCCAGTCTATGTATATGCCAGTCTTGCAACTGCCAGGCCCCGTTGCACACAGCAGACAACAACATACAATAACCACGACATAGTTAAACAGGGCCAAATGGCTTTCGCACACAGCGGACAAAAAAATATCCAAATACGCACAATATTCACAGCACAAATACACATTACACACACCCACACAGTCGTGTTTCCATAAATTTCAGGGACATTACATTGACTTACATTAACACCCTGGAGACTTATCCTAACCATAACCACAACTTGCTTATACCTAATCGTAAACTTTAAAAAGTCTTCCCACTAAAATTTTATGGTTTACATTATGGGAACTTGCGTATCGTCCCCAAAGGAAGGTAAGTCCCCACAGAACAGACAAGAACACACTCTATCTATCTATCTATAATAATAAAAAAAATCTAAAAGCTAAAATCATAACTGTCTATCATCACAATTGTATAAATATATATTTTAGATTTAAAAAATTAAAAAGCTGTCAATTCCAGGTGTATAAATATATATTTTTAAATGATATTATAATATAAATAATAAAATAATATGAATAAAATATCACTGTGCAAATACTTTTTCTGAAGAATGAACAATGGGGCAGTTGCTTGTTAAATGCTTGTGTTTGGCCATTAAATGCACAGCACACTTGTGATTAATCATGCTGCTCCTCCAGGTTACTTCTCTTCAAGTATAGGAGTAGGTCATTTTATAAATGGGTCTTATTCTTCACTTGTAGCAAAAAAACTTTTCACACACAGTTGCCTCCTAAGTAGCCTCATTTTAGAGCATCCTGATTTTGGATTCTTAGAAGATTGATGAATAAGGCTTCAGAAGACCACACAATAATTTACAGCACACCTCTCAGCTGAACAACTTCTTTATGTTCACTGAATGACTTGGGCTAAAGGTTTGAGCTCTGTGTCGGGACTGGTGCCATTGGTTCCTAGTGTGGCAAGACATTTTTGTTCCATCAGGAGGTGGTCCATAGGCTGGCAGAGAAACAAGAATCGCTGAGGAAAAAAATAAATACAGTGAAGTGGATTTCTGAGTAGCTCAGGGTCAAACTTATTGCATACTTTGTGCATACCAGGAGGGATTCTTTGCACTGTAATTCCAGTTTACACATTATAATTTATCACTTTTATTATATAACTTTTTATTACAACTTTTGTCCAGTTTTTTAAGAAGTTGTACTACCTTAGAATGACAAGACTACCCTTTGTTGTATGCAAGTACAATGACATTAAAGCTTTATTGAAATGAATTGGAACCTTGAAAAACAACCAACACAATACAATAAAAAGTCAATACAAAACTGTTTAATCAATAAATATATCCCTGCTCACCTGTCGAAGAGAGCCTTTTCCCTGCCTCAGTTTATGTAACACAAAGAGTGGGATGAGGGAGAGGGAGATGGTGGCAATGAACCAGCCCAAGATGTTGGCCCAGAGTGGATAAACATAAGTGTTGCTGAACTTCAGAGGGGAGTATCTGACAATAGAGAAGATGAAGGTGCCCTGTGATTAGAGGAGACAAAGTGGATTAATGTTAAACCTTACAGTCTGTGTGAAACTGTGGAGCTCAAAAGACAAGGTACCTACTTAACCCTAACTTTACAGGTTTTTCTTTTCCACAAAGGCATTGGACATCTTAAAACGGGGAATGAAAAACAAACATATACTGTAGAACCACTGGGGTCTTAGGGTCGTTAATCCTGTCATGAATACGATGCAAATTCATCTTGACATGCATATTTTTTTTTTTTACTTTTGAGGTCATTGGGGCTGGGTTGTAAAGTGCTGCAAGGGGAATTGCAAATTAAGTAAGAGTCAAAAGAGGAAGAGTTAAAACAAATGTGATACAAATATGATAATGTAATAAATCTACCATCTCTGCGTGTTTATTCAAAGCTGTGTGCATCAATGCCTGTGATTAATCTGCACCAAAGGTGTCCCTACCAATATCCAGCAACTACTGATCAGAACAATTAAACATAACCACTGTTGTCCATCAGAATCTGTCAATGTATTTGATACACAAACAATTCCATCCATCCATCGTCCACCCATTATCCTGCATACAGGGGCCAATCCTGGAGCCAATCCCAGCTGACATCAGGCGAAAGGCGGGGTACACACTGAATAGGTTGAGAGTGAGTTCCCCCACAAGGGAAGTTTTTATTGTCCCTACCAACACTGAATATAATATCTGCCCTTGACCTGCTCTATTCTCACTGGGGTGGTTCTCCTTTCTCTCATGAACATACACGTCACATATTAAATCACGCGTCAGATGGAAACAGACACGAGAAAGGTAGCACATGGAAGAAACAAATCAACCACAAGACAGTGAATGAAAGGACTGAATGCTTACAAAACAGAGTAAGGGAGTGATGTAGCACCAGCAGTACTTCATTAATGGGTATGGACGATAACCAATCATGTCTACGATGTTGCCATAGAAACGGTCAGCACCTTTAGAGAAAGGAAAGATAATGGAAAGGTCAGTCTCGTCTTCAACATATATTCTCGACATGAATGTATCAGCATACCAAAAGTGCACACAGCGGTTTTTGTTCCGTTAGAAATTGTTTCTGATAATGTGAAGAAGAGTTGTGTCGGTTCTGTCAACAGGATATAGTCTTTATGTGTATGGTTGTATCGTCTATGAGTTACCATACACCCAGGCAATGCTGACAGACTGGCAGAGGGAGAGGAGGAGCAGGGTGGTGCCACTGCAGACATGATGGTCCAACAGCTGGAGCAGGTACATCCCTCCCTAAAAACAATGACAGAGGTATACAGATATAGAAATTTATTTTGTAAAACTTCCAAAACTTCCAGAACCTGCAATATAATCAGCATCTGCATATCTTTTTCTTACATCTGACGTCTGACGCATTTCTCTCATATTTTGTCTCATTATCACTTGTTATTATGAATTGTTTGACCTTTCAAGAAATACACTTAGAAGCTTTTATGACAAGAGTTACATGAGATTGATACCACTCTCATTCATATTCGTCCTTTTAATATGAAGCTGGAGACAGCAGCCAGTTAGCTTAGCTTAGAACAAAGACTGAAAAGAAAACAGCTTGTCAGGCCAAGATGTCACTGGTCCTGACCAAGAAAAATAATCCAGCACATAACCCCCCATTTACAATTTGTTAAGCAAACAAGATGTAATTTTTGCGCTTTAGCAGTGATAGTAGGTGGTTTTGTTACCATCAGAAAGAGCCAGGCCAGCTGCTGTTTCCCCCTATTTCCAGTCTTTGTTCTGTATCATCTTCTGAATCACTAAGCCCTACCTGGACTGACTTCCTCTCACACTGCTACTTTTTTTTCTGTAATATTTTACCAGTTTCTAAAGCACATAAATTGTTACATAAACTATTTGGTCGGAACACTGAGGAAGGCTGTCTAGCAAGTCTTCTGTACAAACCTCAGTGACCAGGGAGAGTCCCAGCAAACAGCAGAGACTGCAAATGGCCAGCAGAAGCAGCTCACGTCTGTAGCCTTGGCGCAGGTAAGTTGGGAACAGATCAACCAGTGACGTCATCAGACACTCTAGACCAACAAACTAGAAGGAACCAGTGGGAGGAAAAAGAGTCAGGGCTTCGTTCATTCATTCAGTCATTTATCCAGAGAGCTTTGGCCGTACCTGACTGTCCAATCCAAGCAGAATGATCATGACGAAGAAACACACCGACCATACCCGGGGCATGGGCATCATGGCTACAGCACGTGGATAGACAATGAAGGCCAAACCTGGACCTACACACACAGAATGTTATGAGATATCACACAAAAGTCCAGATCACTATAATGAACTGACTGACAAACCGACATTGCCATCCTAGAACCATGCCGCTAACATGGCTAACATTAAGACATTGTGCTATTTTCCAGATGCAAGCGGCAAAGCCAGAAGTGGCCGAGCTTCATAAAGCAAAACTGTGTTAAGTGTTTGTTTTTTTTAAATCAATGACAGTTGACGATTTGGCTTGTCGTCTGCCTTGAAGTTTTGCTCTAAATGTCTACACACTGAATGAGAAATGTGTAGAAGCATCTGAGACCTGTGGGTGAACTTATAGTTGGTTAAAAAGTCACCACAGCTCATGTGTTGCTTTCTGATTCCCAAAGTGTAGGTCAAAATTAATGTGCACAACTGACTCTGATTAATATTTTTTGTCTTTAGTTTTGCATTTCCAAAAAATATGATAGAAAAAGGCATCAAGAATGCCAGAAAGCTTAGTAGGTTGGAATGATGAGGGGATAAGGATAAAGATATATCACATGCTTTGGCACAATTTCCAGGTCAAGTGTCTGTGTAAGGTGCAGTATGACAGTTTAAACTACAAGCTCCCCAAAAAGCCTCACAGGAAACAGCTTATCTCTCTAAAGCTCACTTTGAAGTTGAACTTAACTGAATCACCACTTGCCTGATTCGGCTACTTCAGAAATATCCACTCCTTGTTCGTATGTCATGAAACCCAAAACAGAGAAAATGGCGAAGCCCGCAAAAAGGCTGGTGGCACTGTTCAGTAAACACAAGTAGAAACAGTCCCTGAAAGAAAAATGAATTTAGTTCCAGAAATGTGTAGGCAATTGAGGAGTGGATACAAGTGTTCCAGCTTAGCTAATGTTAACCACAGGCCCACACTAATTAAACTTCATTATCACATGTTTAATTAAGAAAATTCTTGGCTTTGTAGCATAAAGTTTCACCTAAAATGATGTGATGGGAGTGCAATGAAGTAAGTCTGCAGGGATGTTATATAAAAGACAAGAAACACTAACATTTCCTGTAAGAATTCAGATACAGTTACATTTCATTTCCAGCAGGATAGTTTCGAGAGTTGTACCTGTAACAGTCGTTGTTGTAAGTGTTATAACTCCCAAGAGAGGTTAGGAACCCGAAGCCGACAGCATAAGAGAAAAAGATCTGAGTGCCAGCATCCATCCATACCTGAAAAGGTCAAACAAATACTTGTGTGTATGTGCATGGCCCTGTGTAGAGTAAACAATGTAATTATTCTGCTCGTAAGATTGTATGTGTGTTTTTACCTGGGGGTCTGAAAGGCGAGTGATATCAGGGTAGAGGTAATAAATGATCCCATCCATTGCCCCGGGTAGGGTAACACCACGTATGAACAAAACCAACAGCATAATGAAGGGGAATGTGGCTGTGAAGATGGCTGCCTGAAAAGAAGAGGAGGAAACAGTCAGTAAGAACCCCCTAGCACGCTGCTATAGTGAAACAGATCAGCCACATCTGGGGTGTAGGGCTAAAAATAAGGATTATTTTCATTGATTAGTTTATAAAATGGCGAGTCCAATTTCCTAGAACCTAACACAACATCTTCAAATCAACAGTTCAAAACCCAATAATGACAAAGAAAAGTAGCAAATCCTCACCTTTGGGAGGCAGGAAACAACAAATGTTTGGCATATTTCCTTCATAAATGAATTAAATGATCAAATATCAATGAATATGCTGATTGTGATATGTGATTAATTGACTAATTGTTTCAGCACTGATCTTTAAAAAATCAGTTCCCAACATATAAATGAACATGAGCTCAATCCTAGTTCATCTGATACTAGGCAGCATGGTTCATGGTGTAGCATCTGATTTTGAATAAGCATTATTTAAGAAATGTAAAAATTGCCTCAGTTGGATTACTGTACTGACTGGCGACCTGTCCAGGGTGTACCCCGCCTTTCGCCCGATGTAAGCTGGGATTGGCTCCAGGCCCCCGCGACCCTGTACACAGGATAAGCGGTTGACGATGGATGGATGGATGGATGGATTACTGTACTCCAAATTAGCTGCAGCCAATGTAATGTTTTAGTTTTTTTTAGGTTTCAGTACTGGTGTGAAAACCTCAACACTGGTGATATTTAAATTAAAATTGGGGGCATACATTTCTTGGATTTTGTGTTAATGTGTATATTTATTCTATTATTTAAAAGAATGGCTTGGACACATCAAACACCTGCTATTACATGAAGACAGATAAGAACCCCCCCCCCCGAACTGTGGATTGATTGGATAGTTTAAAAAAGTTTTCTCCCACTGTTTATTGTTTAAGTAATAAATACAGAGCATTACATCGAGATGCAGAGCTGCAGGAAAAACGCAGAAAAGACAGATGCATGCTGTGTTTAATTCTGAAGTGAAGTGGGTAAGGGGAGAGAGACTGATTTAAAAGCATTACTTTCAAGAGTGTCACTGAGTGAAACCCCGTAGCTCTGTGACTTCGGGCATGTTCACTGGTGTAACAGGGACAAGGGGCTGATTTTCATCATAGAAGCAGATCATCAGATTGTGAAGTACTGCAGCTTCAGTAGTAACGGCAGCCTTCCCTTCAACACACAGCTCCGCTGCTCACAAATGCAGAGCAAATGTCTTGTGAGCATAGGTGTCATTTACACTGGGGATGCTGGGGGGGACATGTCCCCACCACCTTTTGAAATGGCTGATTTTGTCCCCACCACTTTAGTATAATTTGTTAAAAAACGTTTGAAATATAGCTTGCAGTTAAATAACAAATGAAAATGCCCGCAAAGGTTTATTTGCACATTAAATAAACATGCAATGCAAATAAAATACAGAAGAAACAAATGTGCATTGTCCAAAAAAGGTAACTTAGGCTTAAAATCAAAACAAGCTACTTATTATAAAATGACCCAAAAACGTGCATGCACCAATCAACAACTTTAACAACTTCTTGACACAGTTTCTTTTTGGCCACGTTTTCCGTTCTCTCCCTTTGGGGTAGAGGAAGCCTTACCCAATCCTAACCTTAACTTTAGGCAGTCTGTTTTAATCATGTTTCTTCCAAAGGCCCAGGGCTAGACTGGCATAACTGTCTTTATTTATTTATTTTCTCAGTTTTCTTAATTGACACTGAGATAGCTCAATCAAATTTGGTCCACTTGGTTTGGGGAAATTGTACAATAGGCACGCACATTTAAGGAGAACATAAGGATGATGAACTGGTGGGTGGTGTTCGACCGGTTGTTTGTGTGTGTATGTGGGTTGGTGGGGGGTCTAACCAAGTCGTGATAACTTTTAAAACTAAAATAAAACTTCATATCCCCAGCTGTACCCACAATACGTTGTGTAAACAATTCACAACAAGTCATTCATCAAAAAGTAGCATGATGTCATGGACCAAAGGTGGCTTAGCCTCCTATCTACATTGTATCTGCGAACAACTCTGCGATGCCAGGGGTCAGCATGCCCAGGTCTCCATCTTTGTTTGCCACCTGGGTGACAATGTATCCAACCTGAGGGTGGTTAGCCCACAGAGTGGAGGCACAATGTACTTCTTTTGGGCTGTGCCCAACATGTGACCCCCCCATGGGTCAAGGCGAGCTCTGACTGACACACTTCATTGGGAAAAGCATTTTGGGTAGACTTTTACCAAAATGTATGTATTTATGGATGTTGTTCACTGTTCAAGCAGCTAACCTTTCCTGTTGACTTGATACCCTTCCAAACGCAGAAGTAGCAGATGACCCAGGTCAGGATGAGACACAAGACCAGTTCCCACCTCAAGCTCCCCACCTCCTCGATACCACCAGAGATTTTCAAAACCCGACGCCTGGAGAGAGAAGCGAGGCAATGTTGAGGGGAAGGGGGAAAGCAAAAAATGAATGACAGGTGAAAAGGAATGGAAAAATAATTATAGGTAGAGGGGAAAACTGAGTGACAGGAGGGGAGGGGGAGAAAATCAGAGGTCGGCTAAAACAAGTGTGGAGAAGACTGGAGGGGAGAGAGAGAGGAACTGGAGGGCAGGGTTGAAAAAGGGAGAAAAGAGAAAGGAGAGGGAGAAAAAATGGAAAGGCAATGATTGAAAGAAAAATTTACATTCAATTAAACTTATGTGAGTTGACTACATGCTTACTGCCAGAACTCCACAACAGGAAGAGTGGTATTCAGTCTGGATGTCATGCTGATGCTCAGATTTGGAGGGATGAAGTCAAAGCATGAGTCTAGTATGGGACAATAAAACACTGGGAATATGAAAATGCTCATTTTTAAATCAAACATGGCTTTCTGCATCCCTCAGAGACAATGACAAATTATCTTGACATGAAATGATATAGTAGAATAATAGCTACATATAAAATCCTTAGTGTTGTACATAACACCCAAAGCCCTATAACAATATTACAACAAAATGAATGATCATATCCCTACATCTCAGTGGAAAAGAAACACTTTGTACCAAATCTTGGTAATTTTAAAGGGTAGGCCTACATTCATCTAAAAGCTTCCAAAGCCCTCACCAAAAGCTGCATCCTACCTGTGTTCCAGTAGTGTCCACATGTGGCCCAGGGCAAATCCCCGCTGAAGGACGAGAACAGGTAAAAGAATGCCCATACAATGATGATAATGTAGGAGGTGGCACTGAATATGATGATTAAGTGACTGGCATAGCCAATGCCTGGAAAAAGCAAAAGCATGCAGAATACGATATTAGTGAGGGCAGCGCACAGGTAATATTCTTATGTTGCAATTACCACTTTATGTGGGGCAAAGTGTGTCCTATTCAAAAAGTAAGCTAATTAGAATATTCTGCTGTGATGAGAAACAACGCGAATTATCTGCTGCAAACCAATCGGATGACAAAAAGTGAAATGATCAAAAGTATAGACTTTTTGCGTAATTACGCACGCAGTAAATTCTAGTAAACAAGAAGCCCGTTGATAAATGGGACTACACATCAAACATATTATCCTTCATATTTTCAAAGGGAATTTTAGTGAAAATAAGCAATTTTATTAGCAAAACCTTAGGAAATAATTTTAAAGATGTAGCCCTTCAAACTTTTGAAGAGCTCTCCTTTCTGTGGGCTGTCCCATAGTCACTCGTGGCGTCATGTGATTGTACTGTACGTTTGACCATACAGGCCAGGGGCTCTTATGTTACAAAACCAATAGAGGTAATGTTGGAGGGATCAAGAAAATAAGCCATTTTTATTTACCTTGGAATAGCGGACAAATCTTTCTCCAGCACGTAATTCCCCCCTCGTTGGTGTACTGTCCCAAGGCAGTCTCAAGGAAGAATAAAGGGACTCCGCATGTAAACATGAACAAAATGTATGGGATGAGAAACACGCCTGCAAAAAGAAGAGTATCTTTATGTTTTATTTTATTTAATGCGCCTAGAGAACAGATAACACACAGGAGGGAAACTACAATTATTATTTAGCTGATGCTTTTATCCAAAGCGACTTACATTTGCTATATATGTCAGAGGTCGCACGCCTCTGGAGCAAATAGGGATTAATTATAGGGACACATTGTAGTCAAACCCGGGTCTCTCACACCAAAGGAATGTGTCTTAACCACTGCGCCATCACCACCCCCATTGCATGACAAACTGAGAGCAGCCGTTGCCGTGTAAATTCTCTCACCTCCGCCGTTTCTGTAGCACAGGTAAGGGAACCTCCATACATTCCCAGGTCCGATGATCGCTCCCATCACAGTCAGGATGAACTCGGCTTTGGTCCCCCAGTACCCCCGTCCGTCCGACTCTTTGGGCATCCCATGTGGGTATTGTTCTGCCACAGAAGCTGTGCAGAGGCCATTGTCTTCGTCGATGGCCATTTCCCCCTTCAAATCACTTTCCTAAAACCACTCTGTAAGGGCACCTTTCTTCTGTACACACATACGATTGACTTACTGCGTAGTCTCCTGGCCAACACCTGTTTGTTAGCACAGACTGCACGCGAGTATGAAGTTGATGGAAGGCAGGTAGATGTAACAGCAGCTCTGATAGTCCTGTTACTGAGGATGGTGTTGGCTGAGGTTGAGATATGTATTTGTGTGTATTGAGGGCCCTGGGGGAGCTTGTCATTGAGTAAAAGAAGTTCAAATGGGCGGTCCAAATCTGCTGCGCCTTAATCCACCCGACGCTACAGAAAAACAGTAACGTCTAATGTGTGGAGTTAAGAACTGTATTGTGCCGAAGAAACTATTGTTTTTCTTATGTCTGTGTAAGCACGTACACATATGATACATAGATAGATAGATATACGATATGGTTCATTTTAAAAATGAGTGGCAGATGAAAGATAGTTGCGCCACTCACCTACAGAACGTGTCTTTCTTGGACTTTTAGACAGACAACACTTCTGAAGTGTTTTAGTTCAAAACAACGTGTAGAATATAGCAACAAACAAACAAGTAAGATAAGTAATTTGAATCTATGGCGTCTGTTATAGTAGCCTATTTATAAATGTCTTTTATTTCTTGTTTTCGTTCTTTTTTGTTCTCCACTCCGGAGAAATCTGACTTCAACCATTAATATCAATCACTTACAGTTCTGGGACCGACCGTTAGGAGACACTAATCTCTCATTCAGTTTGTACAGCATAATCTATGTAGCTAACTGCAACACGTTAGTATAGTGCAGTATAGGAAGCACATATTAACAATTTTGGGGTTTGAGGTTTTTTTTCCTGATTAACATTTTGAGCCATGTTCATTTCAGTTCAGTTAAACTTTAACTATATAACTGTGATGCAAATGATGTGACAAAGAGAAACATATTACTGCTCTACAGAAGTATTTAAGATTATTTGAGGTTTGAACTTTTTTGTACTGTATGTACTGCAAGGTTTGCATTTTCACACATGGCAACAAACATTAGATCATGTATTATCATTGAAAATACCATTTGCAAAAACTGTATATAATCTTGTCCAAGTCCCATTTTTGCTCCTCGTGCATTCCATTCCATTTGAATGTTTAATGGCTAAAATACTACCCATTAACTCCAGTACTTAAATTCCTGAGCAGTAAGAATCTGCTTGTTAATTTATAGTACAGCCTACACCGCAGTTCTTTCAGAATGTTACAGTGAGGATCCTTTACTTTAACAACTGTTCAAATTTGTTTAATTGCACGACCATGGTATAGTATAGAATTTTAAGCATGTTGTACAAGGAATTATTATTTAATAGGCCCCAGTATATCAACCAATATGACCCATTTTTTCACCCAAAGAATCATTTGAAAATTAGGCCTATTCAAATTAATTAATAATTTAAAAATATGTTGTTTTTTTTCATGTAATGTTGCGATTAAAATGTTTTCCCCTTTTCAGAACTTCTAAGAACCGTTATATGGACAGCTCCAGGAGCGTTAGGGACAGTTACGCGAACGTGTCCTGCGATCTGGGGTGTGAGCAGGTCTGTGCTGTGTGCTGGTGGACTGCGGCTGCACTGGAGCCGGCTGGCCTGGAAACCAGTGAGCTCATTCTGGCTGCATGGAGGGGAGGGCGGGGCTCCCAGCATCATCACCACCGGCCATCACTGCTTCATTGTACGGGCTGCTGCTGATGCTGAGATCGTAGCGGAGGTGGTGTTTTTTTTTCTTTAAAAAAGGAGCATGTCATGGACACGGTTTCACACAGATTAGGATTTCACACACGATGAGAATCGATTGCGAGGTAAGGCACAGAAAGCTGCTTCTAAGTACCGTCCTTGGTAGGTTTAATATCGTCTGAACTGGGACTTACTGGGACTAGCGGGCCTGCTGGTTTGAGTCGGGTTGATCATCTCAGCAGCGGTGCGAGAAACATATTGGGCTCGCTTTTATTCCACTGCCTATTTGAACCAAAACGGTATTATTGCAGCAACAAATGCCATCACCGTGTACGATAGCATAAAAAGGGAAACCTTGAGCGTGTGGTGGGCCTATTGGCTTAGCCTGCATGTCGGAAGTGGCAGGCCTGCTCTGGCAAGCAATTCAAAGATGACGAGGATGGAGCTCGTGTCCGCTTGGAGATTTTCATCGCCTTGCAGGGCCTTCTCGTACACACGACGGATGCTCACGCTGTGTCTCTAGCATCCTGTGTGTGTTTCTACATTTCTGCGGCTGGTAGGCGTTTGGTAGCTGGGTGCAGTGAAGCTTCCAGCTGTTGTTGCATGTGCTTCAGGTAAAGCCAGATGTGCATTGGCTTCTATGCATTACTACGCATGTGTGATTTGCAGTGTGTGCATTTTTCTGCTTGACAGGATTACCACACACGTTAATGGCCATGTTTTGACAGGATGCTGCAGTGATGTTGCAGGAGGATGCTAGTCCACAGCGGGTTGGCAGGGCCTCCAGACTGAGGCTCAGGGTCTGTAGCCTGCAAACTGCCCCGGGGTGTTACACTGGCCTGGTTTAACAAACATCACCCCTGCTGGGAATGCATTTGCCACACTATTGTTTTAGGGTCAGCACAGATCCAGGCCCACAAGTTAATAGTTTATGGATTGAAATGTAAAAACAGAACCACTCAATAGCACACATTGATGGAGCAAAATGAAACAAGAGGAAATAATGAAAAGGACCAGAATAAAATTAAATCACTTTAAAGGGGTCAGAATGAACTCGGTTGTCACAATAGTGGACATATAGTCAGGCAGTATGATTCATATGTGACATGATCTTGGTTGGAGCTTATTTATAGTCATATTTATATTGCGCTACAAATCTGTCAGAGTTTGATTAAATTTTGGAATAGGACATCCTCTGTGATGCTCAGAGCCAGCTGGACAGAGGTGATGGTGTTATGTTAATTTCTGTATTTACCTGCCATCAAGTCCTGTTGCATTACTGTACACTATCATATAATTGTAACTGGTTGTTACATGAAGCATTAAGATGGATTTCAGCTGAACTGCACAACGTGTTATTGCTTTAAAAATGACTTCTAATTAACATCAACATGGTTAAACTATCTGTAAAGGGGAACATGAAATTGATATTGGACTCATTATATTTGTATAAACACAAACAGTCTCAATCAGAACATCCCTGTCGGCTGGTTGCATCTTAATGATAAATAGGGTTTGGTTATGACAACTACTACTGTGGATTTTAATTATAGTTATTGTTTGAGAACTATAATGCACTTTGCTTTACAAATACTATGTGTTAATAATAAACCATGGAGCAGATGTGAACATTTTGATGCACTGTTTCCAGCATTCATGGAGCTCTGTTCATACACTCTGTTGGTATTTAGATCTGAGGCAGATGGATTAGAAGTCATTTTTTGGCATGAGCTAAGAAGCGGAAAAACATAATCCACAAACGAGCAGGAGAGTGCTGCTTCACTCCAGCCGAAGTCAGGACGCACTAAACCAACTTACATCACAAGCATACCCCAGACTGATTAAAGCAAAGTTGCTCATTGACATTGGGGCAGTGCTGGCTTCAGTCTGACTAACTTTTGCCGACTCGATTGCATAAATACAAACAGTCTCAAACAGAACATCATGTAGGTCTGCTGCATCACACTGATAAACCGTGTTTGGTTATGACAACCAATATAGTGAAGATGGATTTGAAGTCATTTTTGGCCTGAGCTAAGAAGCAGACAAACATGATCCACAAACGAGCAAGAGAGTGCTGCTTGACTCCAGCCCAGGTGAGGACATTTTAAACCAACTTACCTCATAAGCAGTACCCAAACATTTTTGCAGACTTGATTGCATGATGCATAACCTGGTTAAGTAAAAAGAATAATAGCATGATTTTGTTTTTGGGGGGGGAAAAGTAGTGCCTGTTGGTTGAATATATGCACATGAAAGCATCAGAGAGGTCTGTTTAAGTCTGGTACTAAGGAAAGTTTGGATTGTAATTGGATTGGGTAATTGCAGACAGAGCTCATTCTGTGTTAATATGATCACACTGTATGTTTTAAAAAATATATATATAAGTCAAAGTTTGCTGTATTTTTTTGTTTATTTTGTCGCTTAGGTTTATGTATCACCCTGAGATTGTGGAAGCAAGTAAATAAAAGTGGCAATTTTTACGGAACTTATCAAAAATGTAAATTGAAACTATTTGACCACTGTGATAATGTGGCATCAAAAATATTATGTGTGCATCATGTAGAGTGCTTTGCAAATACAGTAGGATTAATTATCTTTATGCAATATCCTTCAGAATTTTCAGTTGTACATAATAAATCAGTCATAACAAGATTACATTTTAAGAGGTGCTTTAACTTTGGGCTTTCCCCTCAGCATTTGGCATTTGACCAGGTAGAATCCATCCCTCACTTTCCTATAAATGTCCTGCAGCCACATTTGTTGATGATGAGAGAGGAGATAGATAGCCTTTGTTAACATATAAAATATATTTCATGATGACGCATTATGGAGGATTTGTAGCTGTGTCCTTGACTCTATTTTTACCAGTAGCTGTATTTTTGTCATTGTATTTTGTAAACTTTTTTGAGAGCTAATGGAAACTCCAAATATGATCTCCAAAAGCAACCAAAGCGTGTTTTGTATTGTTTAATCCTTACCTTAACCCAAGGCAGAGTATGGCTTGTACACTGGTTTGAGTGGGTAATGGATGACACATGGTAGGTCCTGATATAGAAATTTTGGCTCTATGATGAATGATTTCTTTTGGAAAAAAAAAACTACAGAACTCAATAATAGCCTCTTGTTTACCGTGCAGAAAGGAAGATGCCCACTTATGTTTAATCTCAGCTCTTACATTGTCCCAAATTAATATGAAATGACAATTTCTCAATCTTAATAGCCTAATCATAATGCAAATTGCAACTTTGCAGAACAAAGTAGCTGTCTCTTTCATTTCTCTGTATGACAAAATTATGATACAACTGGAGTGAATGAGCCAGATTTGGCAAAAAATTGCTAAATGCAGCATTGGCATGTAGTCCAAATTATCATGAAAAGGATTGGAAGTGTTTCAAAAATAGCAAAAGTGTGTCCTTAATACCCATCAATCATATTTCTACATGGCTTTTACTGGAAGAGTACCATCAGACTAAGGACGGCAGCAACAAAGCTTGCGTTTCTGTTGGTACCCTGGTAGACTCTGTCTGGAAAATCCTGCTTTAAAACATAAAATTGATGTCTGAGGAGTTAAAAGTGGGTCATGGGGCCAGTAGTGTGCTTCATGTGAAAGTGATGCAGCAGTCAACAACCCAACTCTGCAGCTCCATTGCAGAACATTTGAGCTTACTGCGTTTTTTGTTTTACCTATGGCAAGTTCACTGTATGGTTCTGTCTCCCTGCTCTAATCAACCTCTTTTCCTTCAGCAAAAAGCAGCTATTTTTTTTTAAATATCTCATAAATTGTGCTACCTGCTCAGCACCAAATGGTTTAACAACTTGCTGCTGGGGAAAGTCTCAAATTTAGCAGCTAAAGACAAAAAGGAAAGTAATCTTACACTTAAGTTGCTCAGGTAGTCATAAACATGATTGAAAATGAATGCTAACAGTGTCAATTGGCTATGTAAGTAGGCAACCGTTTGCTATCAGGAGAGTGAAAAAACAACTTAAGAAGGAGATAATATTTCAGCATGCTCCTGAGTGCCTGTCAAGTTCTTATAGAGCTCTTCTGCCCCATTCGCAACAGCAGGCAGCTGTTTTCAGTGAAGAAGCTCTGATAAACTGACTATTCATTACCTGCCCAGCACTAAGCGGCAGACAGACAAAGTTAGTGAGTAGCCGGTGAACAAAGAGTAGCATTTAGCAGCTTAAGAGACAGATATTTCCCTCAGGAGTTGGTTGAGACCAAAACAGAGCTAAAAGGCGAGGAAATGTTGGACTTACATTTTTAGGTGTTTTCAAATGAATGCAAATGTTGCTATGTGTTTGATCGAAGTGTTAGTAGGCAATAGTTTGCTAAAACGTTTGCTGTCAATTTTAAAGGATGGTAATATGTCAGCCTAGTGTTAAGATGTTGTTCCCAGTAACCAAAGGAAAACAAAATAATGAATGCAGATAAATATAAGTAGGCCTATATAATAATAGATCATCACTGTATCCACAATTTGACTTATTTATTTTATTGATTTATCCAGTTTTCTGCTCAGCTAAACCTAAGTGGTGCTTGGTGAGTTAGCAGCATGTTTTGGACCAGTAAATCCTTGTTGTTGGAGAGCTTGTTTCATCATAACGTGAAAGACAGGTTTTTTCATACCAAGCACTAAAGACACTTGTATATTCTGGGAAAGAGTAAAATAAGTGTCCCTTCATGATTTACACATGTATACCGCCTGTATCCCCCTATAGTAAAAGCGTCTTGCTTCTTTCACTCTGTGTACACATTGTAGGGGTGATGACATTTCAATATTTGGCGCAACCTTCCATCTTAGGATAAAGTATACTTTAAGGGATGATGCGTTATCTGGCTAACCTGCTCGCTAGTTCTTAGAGGAATACTGTAAACAGCTTTGGCAAGATCCAGTTCTTTAAACCCTTTCTGGCATGACGAGTACCAATTTCATTAACTTGTGTCAGTCAATATAAATTGGTCTTATGTCAGATGCTGCCATTTCTTGTCGGAGAAGCGAGTACTGCACACTGTAGCTATTGGGTGTCCTTGTCTGCTTTTCTTGCTACCAGGAGTGTTGTGTGAGGTACTGGTACATGTTTTTCCTTTTTGATATAGTTTATTATTTTTGAAGTCCTG